ATCCGGTGTTATCACTTCGCAGGGCTCGGTCCAATTGCTCATCTCCTTTATGGGTTCGGCCCAATTCGATTGTTCCTCTGCTATGGCTCGTTGTTTTCGAGTATTTAGTCACTTTTGAGATGGTTTATCCGCTTGGGGTGAAACCGACCCCAACATTGAGTTTGCCGCCACCTCATTTGCCGTGTCATTCTCTTTTTTTATGTAGAATTACATGTGCATATATAAATTTAATGGATACATATATATTAGGACTATGCCAAATATTCAATGCAAAGATATTTATACAACAATAAATGGAAGTGTAAATTATATATATTTACCTTGTATAGACTCTTCATGCTTCATGTTCCTATACACCTATTGAAATAAACATATAATTTAATTACATATACACCAGGATAAGAATCTAAATTACCACACTATCAATCTTTGAATAGATAGTTATATATATCTAGTTATAAAATGTGTGTATACATATAAGTACCTGGAGATTGCTTTTCACATGCGAAATTGTAAGTGTTTTTACACCCATTGAGTTCAAAATATTTTTAGGAGTTGCTCTTTTAATATTAAGAATAATCATAAGATAGACTTTTATACAAAAAAAAAATTTCTTAATGATATAAACAATAGTGTTACTATGTATAAGAAATAATAGTTGAAAATTTTGAAAGATGAGAAACATAACACAATTGGAAAAACAAATATAAAAAATTGTTTATCGATGTGATGATAAAAAGTGAGAAATTGGATTTGTTGTTCTGAAAAAAAAAAGAAAAAATATTGCTTACAGTTTTCGCCACCGAATTGTTCAACAGCATGGACAAAATAGCGATGATAATCGGTGGTCCATGGCAGTCGCGGTATTTTTGACTTAGTGTAAGGTCTAACAATCTTTATTTTCATTGCTTTTGTTATGCCATGATTTTTTTTTCAGATATGTACTGATTATTTTTTTGTTCTAAAATATCATAAAAATTTTTATAGAAGTTATAATTACCAAAAATAGCCTAAAACAAAATATTAAATGCTAGTAAATATTTTTCTTGTGACTTGTGACTTTGTTGTTTTATCAGGAAAATTTAAAATTACACTTTAAAAGAAAAATATTATATAACATATGTACCATAAAACTTAAGATTTGAATTAATACTATCAGATTTTTTTTCTAGAAAATAAAATTATATATGCTGGCAAACTGTTTTATAAAAAGTCAAAATTAACCCAAAATTAATATATGGGCCTAACTAGGATATGTATAACTTAATGGTTTACACTAGTATGGTTATTGTATCATCATCCAATTTAAACATATGCATTATATGTTTTTTATTGACAACAAGAACAAAATTATAACTTAAAGCCTAAAATTTTAGCTTATTATCATCATTTTTAACCGAATTATATAAATAACTTAAAAGTCTTTAAAAGAAACAAATACCATGAATGTATCTACACTATCAATATATTATTTCCTTCCAAACCAGTTTAATTTTATACATGCAAAAGTAGAGATACCATATTTCATAAATTTAATCATTTATAAATGACAGAAATACAAAATCCTAAAATTTCCATATGTGTTAAATATATACTTTATTCATACTATTTTTTCTTTCTTGGTGATTTTTTTTTTAAATAAGAATAGCTAATATTAGATTTTTTTCATAATATCTTATCACTATTATAATGATAGTTTTACAACTGACAATCTATCTGCTCCACAAGAATCCATGTAGACCAGGACAACAATGAACGATTCTCCTTGCACCACGCTGAAAATTGCCTTATAATTTTATCTCCATATTAACATGCATAAATCACATCTTTTGGAAATCAAACCTCAAACCTCCTGATGTAGAAACATTAATTTACCATTAGTCGATCACTGGACTAAGAACCTTATATTATTTAGAGTTGTAGTTTATAAGTTATAAACATAAAAAACATTATAAAAGAAAAATAAATAACATATTTTATTGGAAATAGATATATATTTATAAAATAATCTTCCATCCAAATAATAGATGGAAGATCACAAAGTAACATCTTATAAAAACAACTACCATCTTAATATATATAGTTCATTTTTATTTTTATTTTATCTCATTATATGGGATAATAACATTATATAAAAGGAAAACAAGCTTAAAAAGGATAGAAACCCAAATCTTCTTAGTACTTGAGACCAAGAGTTAGTTCAAGGGACAATTTTTCTTCATCCTTCAAAACTTCTGAGTTTAAAGGATCATTTTCACCATCACCAGCAGTTGCGACATCATCATCAGCATTAACAATGATATTGTTATTATTATTTTTATCATCGTCTCTGATTTCAATTAGTCCAACCTACCATAATATAATCATATAGATAATTAAATAGTTTTAACAATCAAAATCATTTGCATGTTTTTACTGCCACATAGATCTTCTTTATCCACTATATGAAGTCAAAATATCTCACCACAATCAAGAATAACCAAGAAATGAAGAAAAAATAATAATAAAAAATAATAGTGAAGATCGTTTGATATCATAATTTATCGGTGAAAACTGATAAATGTAACTATTTTGGCAATATTATAGGCATATTTAAGGTATAATGACCTTGTTTATACGATATATATATACATCTATCTAGGTCATATCATATGCATCAAAACTCATGTTGACAAGCATGCATGATTGTAATATATGCAAAAGAAAAGAAAATATACTCTGGAAGATTGAAAGAGAGACTTGAAAGACACATCCATATTTTCATTACTATTGCACTGTAGCCTACAAAAAAAAATTAAAACAAAGTTAATCATTTTGATTCCAAAGCAAGCAATTAAATGAATTCATGACCTAACATTAATTAATTATGGCATGAACCTTTGTTGGCTTTGCATAAACTTGGTTGCGTCTCGAAGACGTTCATAGATCCGAAGGTATTGTTGAGTTTGCCGCCACCTCATTTGCCGTATCATTCTCTTTTTTGCTGTAAAATTACATGTGCATATATCTATTTGATAGATACATATAATTTAGGACTATGCAAAATATTTTCAGTGCAAGATATTTATACAACAATAAAGTAAAGTGTAAATTATATTTATTTACCTTGTATACATTCTTCATGCTTCATGTTCCTATACACCTATTGAATTAAACATATACATTTTTGATTACATATACACCAAGATAAGAATCTAAATTATCATACTATAAATCTTTGGATAGATAGTTATATATATCTAGTTACTAAAATATGTGTGTATATATATAAGTACCTGGAGATGGCTTTTCACATGTGATATTGTGAGTGTTTCAACACCTGTTGAGTTCAAAATCTTTTTAGGAGTTGCTCCTTCAATATTAAGAATAATATCATAAGATAGACTTTTATACAAAAAATAAAATTCTTAAATGATATAAAGAACAAGTCTACTATGTATAAGATATGATAGTTGAAAAATATGAAAGATGAAAAAAATAACACAATTGGTAAAAGAAATATAAAAAAAAAATTATCGATTTTGATCGTAAAAAGTGCGAAATTGAATTTCTTGTTCTGAAAAAAAAGAAAAATAAATTGCTTACTCTCTTTGCCACCGAGATCTTAAACAGCATGGACAAAATAACGATGAAGATCGGTGGTCCATCGCAGTCGCGGTATTTTTTACTAACTGTAAGGTCTTACAATCTCCCTTTTGTTATGCGATGAATTCTTTTTTTCAGAAATGTACCGATTATTTTTTCGGTTCAAAAATATTTATAGAATTTTTTCTAGAATATAAAATTATCAAAAATAACTTAAAAACAAAATATTTAATGCTAGTAAATATTTTTCTTGTGACTTGTGATTTTGTTTTTTTATTAAGAAAATTAAAAAATACACTTTAAAAAAAATATATTTAACACCATTTTTTCTAATGGTGATAATATATACCATAAACCTTAAAATTCTAATTAACATTACTAGATTTTTTTATAAAATAAAACTATATATGCTGGCAAACTGTTTTAGTAAAAGTCAAAATTAACCCAAAATTAATATATGGCATAACTAGGATATGTATAACTTAATGGTTTGCACTAGTGTGGTTATTGTATCATCATCCAATTTAAACATATGCATTACATGTTATCTATTGACAACAAGAACAAAATTATAACTTAAAACCTAAAATTTTAGCTTATTATCATTATTTTGAACCAAATTATATAAATAACTTAAAAGTCTTTAAAAGAAACAAATACCATGAATATATCTACACTATATAATATACTATTTCCTTCCAAATCAATTTGTTTTTATACTAATGACAAAAAATTGCAAAAGTAGAGATACCATATTTCATAAATTTAATAATTTCTAAATAACAAAAATACAAAACCCTAAATTTTCATATGTGTTAAATATATAATTTATTCATACCATTTTGATTTTTTGGCGATTTTTTAAAATAATAATGGCTAATATTGGATCCAATATTAGCAAATATTGAACTTTTTCATAATATGTTATCACTTTTATAATGACAGTTTTCCAACTGACAATCTATCCGCTCTACAAGAATCCAACACAAACAGGGATCACAACTAGCAATTCTCCTTGAAAATTTTCTTATAAGTTTGCCTTCATAATAACCTGCATAAATCACATCTTTTGGGCATCGAACCTCAGATCTCCTAATGTAGAAATATTAATTAACCATTAGTCGACCACTAGACTAAGGATCTTCCATTATTTAAAGTTGTAGTTTATAACTTATAAACATAAAAAAAACATTATAAAAGGAAAATAAATAACATAATTTATTGGAAATAGATATATATATATATTTATAAAATAATCTTCCATCCAAAGAATAGATGAAAGATCACCAAGTAACATCTTATAAAAACAACTACCATCTTTATATAAATATATTTCATTTTTTATCTCATTATATGAGATAATAACATTATATAAAAGGAAAACAAGCTTAAAAAGGATAGAAACCCAAATCTTCTTAGTACTTGAGACCAAGAGTTAGTTCAAGGGACAATTTTTCTTCATCCTTCAAAACTTCTGAGTTTAAAGGATCATTTTCACCATCACCAGCAGTTGCGACATCATCATCAGCATTAACAATGATATTGTTATTATTATCTTTATCATCGTCTCTGATTTCAATTAGTCCAACCTACCATAATATAATCATATAGATAATTAAATAGTTTTAACAATCAAAATCATTTGCATGTTTTTACTGCCACATAGATCTTCTTTATCCACTATATGAAGTCAAAATATCTCACCACAATCAAGAATAACCAAGAAATGAAGAAAAAATAATAATAAAAAATAATAGTGAAGATCGTTTGATATCATAATTTATCGGTGAAAACTGATAAATGTAACTATTTTGGCAATATTATAGGCATATTTAAGGTATAATGACCTTGTTTATACGATATATATATACATCTATCTAGGTCATATCATATGCATCAAAACTCATGTTGACAAGCATGCATGATTGTAATATATGCAAAAGAAAAGAAAATATACTCTGGAAGATTGAAAGAGAGACTTGAAAGACACATCCATATTTTCATTACTATTGCACTGTAGCCTACAAAAAAAAATTAAAACAAAGTTAATCATTTTGATTCCAAAGCAAGCAATTAAATGAATTCATGACCTAACATTAATTAATTATGGCATGAACCTTTGTTGGCTTTGCATAAACTTGGTTGCGTCTCGAAGACGTTCATAGATCCGAAGGTATTGTTGAGTTTGCCGCCACCTCATTTGCCGTATCATTCTCATTTTTGCTGTAAAATTACATGTGCATATATCTATTTGATAGATACATATAATTTAGGACTATGCAAAATATTTTCAGTGCAAGATATTTATACAACAATAAAGTAAAGTGTAAATCATATTTGTTTACCTTGTATGGACTCTTCATGCTTCATGTTCCTATACACCTATTGAAATAAACATATACATTTGATTACATATACACCAGGATAAGAATCTATATTATCACAATATAAATCTTTGGATAGATAGTGATATATATCTAGTTAATAAAATATACGTATATATATATATATAAGTACCTGGAGATGGCTTTTCACATGTGATATTGTGAGTGTTTTCACACCCATTGAGTTCAAAATCTTTTTAGGAGTTGCTCCTTCAATATTAAGAATAATTTCATAAGATAGACTTTTATACAATAAATTTTTTTCTTAAATGATATAAAGAATAATTCTACTATGTATAAGATATGATGGTTGACAATTTTGAAAGATGAAACAAATAACACAATTGGTAAAAGAAATATAAAAGAGTTTTTTTATCGATTTTGATGGTAAAAAGTGCGAAATTGAATTTGTTGTTCTGAAAAAAAGGAAAAAAAATTGCTTACTCTTTTCGCCACCAAGATCTTCAACAGCATGGACAAAATAGCGATGAAGATCGGTGGTCCATCGCAGTCGCGGTATTTTTGACTTACTGTACGGTCTAACAATCTCCCTTTTCATCGTTTTTGTTATGCGATGATTTCTTTTTTTCAGAGATGTACCGATTATTTTTTTGGTTCTAAAATATTTATATTTTTTCTTAAAAACAAAATATTTAATGCTAGTAAATATTTTTTTGTGACTTGTGATTTTGTTATTTTATTGAGGATTTAAAAAATTACACTTTAAAAGAAAAATATTATTTAACACCATTTTTTTCTAATGGTGATAATATATACCATAAAACTTAAAATTTTAATTAATATCACCAGATTTTTTTTTTAGAAAATAAAACTATATATCCTGGCAAACTATTTTATAAAAAGTCAAAATTAACCCAAAATTAATATATGGCCTAACTAGGATATGTGTGACTTAATGGTTTGAACTATTTTGGTTATTGTATCATCATCCAATTTAAACATATGCATTACATGTTATTTATTGACAACAAGAACAAAATTATAACTTAAAGCCTAAAATTTTAGCTTATTATCATCATTTTGAACCAAATTATATAAATAACTTAGAAGTCTTTAAAGGAAACAAATACCATTAATATATCTACACTATATAATATACTATTTCCTTCGAAACCAATTTAATTTTATACTAATAATAAAAAATTGCAAAATTAGAAATACCATATTTCATAAATTTAATCATTTCTAAATAACAAAAATACAAAACCTAAATTTTTATATGTGTTAAATATATACTTTATTCATACCATTTTGATTTTTTGGTGATTTTGTTTTTAAAAAAAGAATAGCTAATATTAATTTTTCATAATATGTTATCATTACTATAATGACAGTTTTACAACTGATAATCTCTCCGTTCCACAAGAATCCACGCAGACCGGGATCACAACGAACGATTCTCCTTGCACCACGCTGAAAATTTCCTTATAAGTTTGCCTTCACAATAACCTGCATAAATCACATCTTTTGGGAATCAAACCTCAGACCTCCTGATGTAGAAACATTAATTAACCATTAATCGACCACTGGACTAAGAACCTTCCATTATTTAAAGTTGTAGTTTATAAATTATAAACATAAAAAAAACATTATAAAAGGAAAATAAATAACATATTTATTGGAAATAGATATATATATATATATTTATAAAATAATATTTCATCCAAATAATACATGAAAGATCACCAAGTAACATCTTATAAAAACAACTACCATCTTAATATATACAGTTTGTTTTTTTTATCTCATTATATGGGACAATAACAATATATAAAAGGAAAACAAGCTTAAAAAGGATAAAAACCCAAGTCTTCTTAGTACTTGAGACCAAGAGTAAGTTCAAGGGATAACTTTTCTTCATCCTTCAAAACTTCTGAGTTGAAAGGATCATTTGTACCATCACCAGCAATTGCGACATCATCATCCGCATTAACAATGATATTGTTGTTATTATCTTTATCATCGTCTCTGATTTCAATTAGTCCAACCTGCCATAATATAATCATATAGATAATTAAATAGTTCTTAACAATCAAAATCATTTGCATGTTTCTAGTGTCACATAGATTCTCTTTATCCACTATTTTAAGTCAAAATATGTCACTACAATGAACAATAACCAAGAAATGAAGAAAAAATAACAATCAAAAATAATATTGAAGATCGTTTGATATCATAATTTATCGGTAAAAACTGATAAATGTAACCATTTTGGCAATATTATAGGCATATGTAAGGTATAATAATCTTGTATATACGATATATATACATCTATCAAAGTCATATCATATGCATCAAAACTTATGTTGACAATCATGCATGATTGTAATATATGCAAAAGAAAACAAAATTTACTCTGGAAAATTGAAAGAGAGACTTGCAAGACACATCCATATTTTCATTAAAATTGCATTGTAGCCTACAAAAAATTTTGAAAAAAGTTAATCATTTTGATTCCAAAGCAAACAATTAAATGAATTCATGAGCTAACATTAATTAATTATTGCATGAACCTTTGTTGGCTTTGCATAAACTCGGTTGCGTCTCAAAGACGTTCATAGATCCGAAGGTATTGTTGAGTTTGCCGCCACCTAATTTGCCGTATCATTCTCTTTTTTGCTGTAAAATTACATGTGCATATATCTATTTGATAGATACATATAATTTAGGACTATGCCAAATATTTTCAGTGCAGAGATATTTATACAACAATAAAGTAAAGTGTAAATCATATTTATTTACCTTGTATAGACTCTTCATGCTTTATGTTCCTATACACCTATTGAAATAAACATATACATTTGATTACATATACACCAGGATAAGAATCTAAATTATCACACTATGAATCTTTGGATAGTTAGTGATATATATCTAGTTAATAAAATATGTGTATATATATATATAAGTACCTGGAGATGGCTTTTCACATGTGATATTGTGAGTGTTTTCACACCCATTGAGTTCAAAATCTTTTTAGGAGTTGCTCCTTCAATATTAAGAATAATTTCATAAGATAGACTTTTATACAAAAAAAAAATTCTTAAATGATATATAGAATAATTCTACTATGTATAAGATATGATAGTTGAAAAATCTGAAAGATGAAAAAAATAACACAATTGGTAAAAGAAATATAAAAATAAAGTAATAAACATATACATAAGACTAAATATACATCAGGATAAGAATCTAGATTATCACACTATTAATCTTTTTATATATTATATAGTGATATATATATATAGTTGATAATGTGTGTATATATATAAATACCAGGAGATGGCTTTCACATACGATATTGTGACTGTTTTCACACTCATTGAATTTTATGAAGATCGGTAGTCCATTGCATTTGCATCTTTGATTTACTAGAAGATCTAGCAATCGCTTTTTTCATCGCTTCTGTTTTTTCGATAATTTGATTTGTTTCAGAAATGTATCAATTGAAATTTTAGTTTAAAAATTATATATAATTTTTTGTAAGATATAATTATCAAAAACAACCTAAGAAATAAATATTTAATGCTGGTAAATATTTTTGTTGTGACTTGTGATCTTGCTGTTTTACTATTCCCCTAAAAATAAATTAAAAATTACACTTACATATAGAAAAAGTATTATTAACACCAATTTTTTTCTCATGGTAATAATATATTGTATACTGTAAAATTTAAGTTTTAGTTAATACTACCAGATTTTTTGGTATAAACTAAACCTATATGCTGGCAAACTAATTTATGAATAGGTCAAAATTAACCAAAAATTAATTTAAGCCCAACTAGGATATGAATATGAACAACATAATGTTTTTCACTAGTGTCTTTACTGTGTCATCATCCATATTTAAACATATGTATTAAATTTTATTGACAACAAGAACAAAAATTATAACTTAAAGCCTCAAATTATAGCTTATTATCATCATTTTGAACCAAATTATATAAATAAACTAAAAATTGTCCAACAAAACAAATAAAATTTACTACTTCCTTCCTAACAATTTTAATTTTGTACTACTCAAAAAACATGGCAATAGTAGCTGTATTATATTTCAGAAAGTTTTAATAATTTATAAATAATAAAAATACGAAATCATGAATTATAATTTCTAAAAATAACAAAAGAAAAAATATATAATGCTGGTAAATATTTTTGTTGTGACTTGTGATTTTGCTGTTTTGCTATTCCTCTAAAAAGGAAATTAAAAAGTACACTTTTATAGAAAATTATTATTTAACACCAATTTTTTCTCATGGTAATAATGTATTCAATATATTTTTTAATTTTAATTAATAAAACCATTTTTTCTAGGGTGGATTTACATAATTAATTTCTATTACTTTTTATATTAAACTCATATTCTAGAGCGAATTAGGTTAAATTATTTTAATATAAATATATATTAACTATGTAGACATAATCTTAAATATTTTTGTTAACAAACAAACTATTTTAATATATTAAACTTTTTTTTAAAAAAAATTTGTTCTAGAGCAGGTGAGAATCTAGTTTATGTTTAAAAGAGAAATTAAATAAAAGCAAACTCAATATCCGTATTTTATGTATATTTCTCATACTACGTGACATGAGGAATATTATTCTTTTTTTTTCTCCATTTTTTATGGACCGGTCACGTTTAACCTTGAGATGATTTTGCAAGAATTTTTTAACTATCAAAAATATTAAACCATATTTAGCCAAGACAACTCTTGAAAAATAAAAAAACACAGTTATCATATTAAATTGACAAAACTCATAGGCATTCATGAATCGGAGATTAATTTCCATAAAATTACATAAAGTTATATATATAGGTTCAAATATTGTATATCATAATAAACATTAAAAATATATGTATCGGTACTTTACCATTGAGTGCTAACGGATTTAGCGAAAGAAACAAAATACCATTAGTCCACGTCGGTTTAAAATCTCATTAAAAACGCACCAAGTTGCAACGATGTTCACCAATATACAAGAAATTTTTTATCAAACAAATTATGTTTTTAATACATGCATCTACAGTAATACTTTCCAACGGTTTGTACAAAAATCGAGTTCTTATTAGGCTTTGAGACTAAGAGTGAGCTCAAGGGACAATTCTTCGTCACCTTTAGAAACTTCTATCGAGTTAAGTGACAAAGTAACTACATTACCGTCATCATCATCAGCACCAACAAATTCACCACTGTCATTATCAGCTCTAGTTCTATAATGTCGGACCTGTAAAATTAAACAAAAGTATATAATTATTCTAAAATTAATTACATGTCCATTTTCGTAAGCTGAGATGGACACATGCATGACAATATAACATCAAAATCTTTCTCATGTTTTCATTGTTATAAATAATTTCATTCGCTGAAATTAACTTTCATATCTATGCTTAACTTGTAGGTGCATAAGCATAATTTCATTCTATACCAAAAACAAATCTCAGAAAATATTTAACAGACACTTTTGACCAATACATGCAGATGACATATACAAAACTTTTATTACCAAATATGATTTTTAATAAACCTTGATGAAATAAGAGACTTGTAAATAATAGAGAACTCTAAATAATATATGGCGGTCTGTATATATGTGCCACCCTTGGAAACTATAGATATATATTATTATGTGGCATCTCGATCTTGTATATATATATATATTATTCAAGTTCATATATATACTCTTGATGATTGACAGTAAAGAAATGCATACGAAGACAAGTTTTACTCTTGATGATTGACAGTACAATATATATATAATGATATATATATATATATATATCAGTAGTATTGTGAAAGACAAAAAAGCATAGAATAATGTATTACCCTTGAAGATTCATAGAGAGACTTGCAAGTAAAATAGTCACTTGGTACTTCGAACATTTCCTTAGTTTCATTACTTGATTCTCCGAATGTTATTATTTTTTCAAACATTTCCTCTTCTCTCCTACAAGAATTTTATAAAAACAAAAAAGGTATACATATATAGTTCTGTTTCTCATATAAACCAAAAATATATAGTAAAGCAAACTAATTTTACTGATCAAGTATTAACTACACGAACCTTTGTTGATTTTGGAAAAAGTTGGCATTGCCTCGAAGGCGTTGATAGTTATGAAGGTACTGTTGAAATTGCCACCAAGTCACTTGTCCTGTCACTCTAACACTTCTCTTTGCTAAAATCTCGTCTGCCATAGATTGCATGTGTTATATATTATATACATATATATATATATAGATATCAATATATGTGCACTATGTTGCATCTTAATGTATATGCATATATGATCTTACGCAAATATATACATTCATATTTATACAATTTAAAATTGAATTATAAATTATATTTGTTTACCTTGCATGGATTCTTCCAGCTTCATGCTCCTATACATCTGTTGAATATAAGGTAATTAAGAATTACTGGTTCCGTATCCAAACCAAATTTTATAAAATATAATTTGGTTCATAAGTACACATTATATAAACATTAGTAGTTAGATGTATATAGGACCTGGAGATGACTCTTCACATGTGATATTGTGAGCCCTTTCACATCCATTAACTGCAAAACCATTTTAGGAGTTGCTCCTGCAATTGTAAAGATAATAATATATTTTTTATCCTGAAAATTGAATTAAACTAAAGCAAACAGAATCTTGACCAGAAGAAGTTATAATCGATAAATTCACAAGAACATAATTTCCATAATCAATGATTTAATCTAAAAGATGTTCAGATGACAAGAAATTGTGAATTTTCATAATTAATTAAAGAGTTTATATCTGTAAATTTATATAAATAGAAAAGAATCTGCGCTTACTATTTTCTCCACCAAGTTGTTCGACGGCTTGAACAAAAGAGTTGTGAAGATCAGAACTCCATCGCAGCCGCGGCACTTTTGACCTAACATATGATCTAACAGTTGGATTTTTCATTAGTTTTTTTCTTAAGCTTACCACTTGATATTTCCGAAAAAAATTTCAGAATGATATTATTTGTTCGGCCGATTTAAAATGGCTGCAGCTAAATCAAAGGGGTGAAGGAAACTAATAGAGAATGCTCTATTTTCAAATAGGCAAGTTTTCTTGGACTAATTGTGTCTTCGTAACTTTTGTCTTATCTGCTGCTCTTTCGTTTTTTCCTAGAGAGAGGAAAAATAATAGAAATATTTACATTAAAGAAAGGAGATAAAATGCTATTATAATTGTTTTTTTTTGAAACATATGCTATTATAATTGTTGTTGTGCTTTGTCATGTTGTGCTACTTTTTCGTTCTTTATATTTTTGTTCATATAATAGTTTCTTTTCTATGAATTCATTTGTATATTTAAAAGACGAAATAAATAACCAGTTAGCAATTAAACTCATCAATTAGTATAGTAATTAACACCTCCACTCTTGTTTCTTAATTTGTGATAATATACGCATGACAACATCTGAACAGTAATTAAAACTATCAACAAGTTTCGTCCTTTGTAAAATAGTGTTATGGAAACCAAAAAGAAACTATTTCAAACAATTAAAAAGTTATTAAAAAAAAACTGTATACTGAAAATTTTCGCTTACGAAAAAAGCCAAAAAGTACGTCAGACTAATTATCTATTATATTAAAACAGAAGCACATTTAGTACTTGCATCCAAACACTCTGAAAGTTTTTTTATAATATTTTATTTTATTTTTATATTTAATTTCCGAAAATTAGTTATTAATATAGATATTTTTAAATTTTTTAAAATCTAGGTCATCTTTAATTTAAATTTCAAATTATTAGAAATTTAATTAAATTTAGTTACAAAAATTTGCATTCAATTTAATTTAAATTCAAAAAATTCCAAAAAAAATTAATTAAATTTTATTACGAAAATTTAAGTAATAATTTTAATACTTTAAAATTTCTTAAATACAGGACAGATTTAATTTAAAATTTTAAATTTTAAATTTAAATAATATTTTTATAAAAATACATAATAAATAAATATTTTATCGTATTTTATCATAATCAATTAGTCTAAAATATCAAATATTTGAGATTAATAAATATTTATATTATACAATAATATGATCGAGCTGATTAGAGTTATATATATATATAAATATATTTAAGGTCCATGAGTTAATTTATTAAAACATGTAAGATATTTTGAGACAATTAAACTAACAATCCATTATATATATATATATATACATTTTTTAATAGCAAAAATAATAAATAAATATCTTATTATATTTTTTCATAATCAATTGGTCCAAATATTTCATATTAGTAAATATTTATAGAGTTATATAATTATAATTATAGTCTAATACGGGTTAGTTTGTCAAAACATATAAGATATTAAAAATGATTTAAGACAACTAAACGGATGGATTAGCAAATTCATAGATATATAGTTTTTTTATGTATAAATCTAAATTCACATAATAACAAAATTTATAATTACTATTAGATCAATGTATACTTAATTAACGCATACTCTTATTCTACTAATATACAAATTTTACTGTTTAAAACTAAAATATGATAATAATTTTTTGATTTAAAAAAATAAATAACAAAAACAAATTATATCTAAACAAAAAAGATAAATGTAACTTATATTAGAAATAAAAAATAAAACATTCTCGTGCGGACGCACGAGTTTAAATCTAATATCACCTTAAACCTCATGCAGCATATAATCAATCTGAGCCAAATGATTTAGATAATTGCACAAAAAAAAACAAAAACTGCTCAAAAGATATACGTGTAATATATATGCTAGTCACAAATTTATAAATTGGCTTAGAGTAAAAACTTCCCTCTTAAAGAAGTAAATTACTTCCTTAAATAAATTCTTCTGTTCTCTAATATTACAGATGTGCTACGTATTTGAGACTGATTCATTATCAATAGTAGTAAATCGTCTCGTATTTTAGTTTAGGATACCTTTTCTGTGTTCGGGTATTGTCGGATAAAATACTGTCTTGAAATTTGAACTATAAATCTTTTTATAAGAAATAAGGAATGACGGAATTTCAGGTGTTTGCATGTCCAAAATTCTTTGACTATTAATTTTTGAACTATTTTGACGCCGGGACAAAATATTGGTCAAAAGACTCAAAATCATACTTATTAAAACAGTTCATTTTTCTCGTCAAGTAAGCAATCTACTTGATCTAACTAATACAACTATACAAACCACTACTTAAGTTGTTCAATTTGAAAATGTAATACTAAATACTTCAACTGTGATAAAAACAGAATTATATATATGCATAAATATTATTTTATAAAAGCAAAATATAGTATTAAAAGTAATATCTAACTATTATGTAATAGTTAGAAACATATACCTTCAAAATTAGTTTTCAAAATATTTGGAGAACTACTATATATAATCTACACTATATAAAAGCAGCTGTTTAGGGTTGGATTCCTTAACGTAGCCACATCAGTTTTTTTAACTATCTTCTAAAGGTTGCTATGTGGCATAAACAACTCACTCTAATCACTTCTTAAGCCATGGTTTGTGAAAACGATCCTGATATCTTTTGCTCTAACGATCCAACTTCCGTCAATTTATCTTCTCAATTTATATAAAAGAGTAAATTTACTGTCAATAAATGTAGTAATTATTCAGTTTCTATTAGGATTTTCTTAAGAAAAAATTGTAGCAAATTTACTGTCAATAAATGTAGTAATTATTCAGTTTTTTAACTGTCTTTAAACAATACTCCCTATTTTCAAAATAGTTGATATTTTATGATTTTTCTTTGTTCCAAAATCATAGATGATATTTTGGAAGTATTTAATGTTATTACATTTTACAAGAATGATTTAATAGCATATTTCATTTAATTATTTTGAAGTAATAAATTTTTATGTGTAAACAAACTAATAGTATCTACTAATGGAGCAAAAGTTCATTCATAATGATTATAGAGCATTTAAGAAGTGGGTGAAACAAATTTTGAAAAGTAAAAAAAAAAAAATAACTAAAAGATATATATTTATTGTTTTTTAATAAGTGTAAAATTTCTAAAACATCAACTATTCTGGAACAGAGGGAGTAAGTGATTAGTTATTTTATTGATGTTTTTTATCAATAATTAATAGAAATAAAGTTATTTTTTTAATAATTTTCTTTTTAATAATGTTCTCATTTATGTGCATTAAATGAAAACATTCTTTATATTAAAACAGAGAATATATAGAAATAATGTACTAGAGATATAGATTCGCCAGGTAAATAATTAGAATATACTAATAATAAACATAAATTTAAAATGCTATGCAGACGAAAAAAAAAGTTAATGCACAACAAATAGAAATTGTATTTATTAATCCTCACTGAATTTTGTAACTGACGCGACTTACTTGATCCTTCTAATTCTCTCCAACAAGACAAAAGAACTTCTTTTCTTTGACAATCAACAAGACAAAAGAACATTGTAACTCGTAATATATAGAGTTTACAGAGTTTTTACTGTAGTACTTTCAATTGCCCATTCGTTCTAGGCTCTGATTACTTCGGCAAGCATGTTATAGTGCAATGATCACTATCCAAATCTGTTTCGTTTTTTTTTAACTGACCAAACAAATCCATCCGAACTAAAAAAAAACAAGTATAGACTAGTATAGAAATTTGTTTCAGTATATATCCCCTGTGTGATAGCTAGTTAGCACTTGCTTCCTTCGAGGGAAAAGCTGAGTCATTGCTCGTAAGTTAATGTCTTGGTGAGAAAAATTATGTACGTTTTAGCAAATAGTTTTTCACGTACGATTGGTCTTAGGTGAAGAGAAATTGTAGGCTGAGACCTCAATTTCTTTGTTAACCAAAAAAAAATTATTTTAAATCACACTACAAGAAAACAGAGATTTAGTGACAGCAAATACAATCGCATAACAGTCGTTAATCCTATATATCCGACTAATTTGCGACTGAATTTGTGTGTAGGTAATTCTTCGTCGCAAATTGCTGCAGTCGTACTTTCGTCGCAATTTTGCGACTGATGATCGACTAATTTTTCGTCGATGGGAAACAGTCGCAAAATAGTCGGTAAATTTTACGACTGATTAATGACTGAATTTACTACTGTTTTGCGACTTTATATTAGTCGTAATGGTCTGTCACCGAGTAGTAGTAAATCAGTCGTGAATTGTTACCATTTTACGACTTAATTGTGACTACATTGCGACTAAATAACGACTGAATACCGACTGTTTTGTGACAATTTTTAACATCAGAATTACAATTTGGTATTGGTTATACGACTTATCCTAAAACAATACTGATCTGAATTCTAAAACATGTAAAAACAATATTCAAAAATTGTAAAAGCATATGAAACCAAATTAAATTACATTACATAAACCATACATTGTCATTCAAACAAAAGCCTAAACCCATACAATCTCCAATGGTACCATATACAACCATTGGAGATAAGTTCAAAAAAAGGGCTACAAAAGATAACATTCTACAACCAACATCAGTCGACATTCAAAAAAGAGATAAAAGAGGAACCTAAGATCAGTTTGAGTTTGGAGAATCAGTAGTAGTTTCTGCAGTCGATGCAGATTGTGTAGCCAAAAAGTCTGCAAACTTAGGATCAGTTTGAGTTAAATACCTTTCAACCAGTGTGAGCTGATCGATCTTCGCTTGTTGTGCAGCTTGTGTAGCCAAAAACTCTGCTTCACGTCTTGCATTTTCAGCCGCTTGTACTTCTATCTCTCGCTGAGATTGTTGTAGCTGTTCGTGAAGGCTGTTGTATGCTGAGGAGCTTCCCGGAGACTTCCGCTTTCCATTAACATGTGATTGTGAGAGGCTTCCAACTCCATATGGAACTCCTCTTTCACTCATGATAGTGGACTGCAAAGAAACAGATCATTGAAACACATCATTCAAACTTTACCAAAACTCATTCAAACATCATTCAAACAGATCATTCAAACACTTATTGGAGAGAAAAAAACCAGAATATACCTGAAGAAATAGGTCATTCTCCTCTTCTACGGATAGCTCTGAAGACCCGAGTGCAGACAACTTCTCTTGCAGGTTCTTCTTATATGTTTCAACAACTATCTGCGCCTTTCCATCAACATAAGTACCATCTTTTTTTGTATGAGTCTTGGTGAAAACTTCACCAAGACTCACAGGTCTTCCCAATTCATCTTCCTGAAATGATAAGAAAAAGGTTAATGTATAAGCAAGAATCTTCTTCCCAAGACTTAAACAATTATATGCTAGGAGAAAAAGATACACATACCATTTCCTGTTGGATTTGTACATAGGACTTTTGACCTGAATAGTGAACATGAGGACCTAGTCCGCCACGTTCAGACATCCGAGCTGCTGATGTCGTTGAACTCTTCTCTTTTGATTTCTCTAAGTCCCAAAACGCAGTCATCTTTCTCCACAGGGTATCTCCAATCCAGTGCGGTTGCTCGCGTGAAGTTCTTGCTCTGCTGACCATATCTTTCATCCTGCTTTTACATATGCTCTCAAATTTTGCCTGAACCACACCGGTAATTAATGGATCCCAGGTGTGAGTTTTCTACAATAACAATAGAGAAGGAGATGATGTTAGTAAGTAAAACACTATACGTAGAGAAAATAAGATATTAGTCTTAACAAAAATGTAGTAAATGAAACACTATAACATTACCGCGAATTCAACAAAGAATCTCTCTTGTCTTTCATGAGGCACTCGTCTCCAGCTATAAAAGGGACCATCAAATTTGTTGGTGAAGACTTTGGTAATCTTCCGGGTCAGTGCAGACTTGTCACGACCAAACCTACAAACATTAAACAAAATGGAGACAAACAAAGCATTAAGACACAAACATCAAGCAAAGCACTAACATTAAGCAAAGCATTAAGAAACAGACATTAAGCATTAAGGCACAAACATGTACCATTAGGAAATCTTAAGCAAAGCATTAAGAAATCTTACCATGTTGTACCCGGCTTCTCTATGGGGGAGAGTACTGTGGTGTAAGCTTCCCTCACAGGCTTTGTGAGCAAAGCATTAAGAATTTGCAGCTGGTCTTCTGCGAGACTGGGAAAACCGTCTTCACCTTCTGAATCATCCTCCGATGGAGCTTCTTCGCCATCACTGCGAGCTTCGTGAGAGAGTGGCGAGAATCCTTGCTAAGAGAGTGGCGAGAATCCTTGCTGAGAGTGTGGAGAGGCTCGTTGCTGAGACTGTGGAGAGGCTCCTCGGTGAGAGTGTGGAGAGGCTCCTTGCTGAGATCGTGGAGAGGCCCCTGGTTGAGAGTGTGGTTGAGGTGATGCAGAGTGACGAGGAGAAGCAGAGAAACGAAGTTGAGACTGCTCTGACCTTCGTTGTTGAGGTGGTGGTTGAGACTCCTGGAAAAGCTCCATCGGAGGTGGATAATCACGTACGTCCAAAGAGGGTGAGAAATTGGGGACAATCGGTGGTGGAGATGATGCCGGAATAAAATCATACCGGCTCGGTAGTGGCGATGGAGTTCTGACCTCAGAAGCTGAACCCTTGGCTGCCCTATTCTTCGACGTCGAAGCTCCCCCTCGTCCTTTCTTCCTTCCACCGCCTGCCATCGGAGGTTACACAAACTTGACTTACGATTTAGAGGTTTGAACAGAGGTTTGAGTTAGGATATGGGTGAGAATCGAAGAGAGAAATTGGAATTTTGGGTGAGAATCGAAGAGAGAAATCGAGTAGTTAGGGTTTCTAAAATTTGGGAATTAGGGAAACATAGAACACTTAGCAAAATTTCTGTCTTTGTTAAGCGGGCTTGTGAAAATTTTGGGCCTGATTTTGGGTTTATGGCGGGGTTAATTGGCGGCTTAATTTTTGGACTAATAGAAGATATTCAGTCGCAATTCAGTCACAACATTAGTCACTTAATTTTTTTTTAAAAACCAGCATAAGTATACTTTTTCTCATACATCATAACTTATTTATTTAGAAATTATTTGGATAAACTCTATGTAACTTACTATTTTTAAAAAGTTTATGTAAATAACTTAGTATGTAACTTAGTTATTTTAAATGATTTTATGTAACTTACTTAAAATGTACATTTGTTATTTTTAAAAATGCACATATCTATGTGAATGCACATAACATATTTCATATTTTTAAAAAATGGACATATGTTAGTTTCTTAACTTAAAAACACTTCCAAAAATATCTTATGTTCAATTGATAATGTATGTGAATGAATGGAAAAAGTTGCAAGTGCTGAATATAGATATATATATATATGCGACTACATAGCGACTAACATACGACTAACATGCGACGGCACTTTATTAGTCGCAAAAAAAGTAAACCAACCTGTTTACGTAGGACACGTGTTTTCGTTTTCTCCGACCAGTAAAAACAGTCGCAAAGTAGTCGTTAAATAGCGATCAAATAGCGACTATATATATTGGTCACAAATAAGCGACTGTTAAACGATATCGTGCGTTTAGTAGTATCGTGGTTGCAATTCAGTTGCGAATCAGTCGGTACATTTTGCGACTGCAGTTTTAGTCGTTATGTGCAGTCGCTAAATCTATGTTTTCTTGTAGCGTCAGTAGTACTTCTTAACCAAAAAAATATCACCAAACCAATAGTAAATCTTTCTTTTATGAGTTTTTGTTATAGGTAGTAATTCTTTTTATTGTTGGTAAAATTAAGTACGGTAATTCTTTCTAACGTTTTTTATTGATTAATTGTAAAACATACGAACATAATCGTAAGGAAGGCGTTCAAAATGATTGATATTAAATTATGCATGTTTTATTAAACTCAATTAAAGGAAGGTAACGAAGCTGGGCAAATAGAAAATAGAAAACATTTATTTCTTTTGTCTCCATGCACGAGCGTAACTTACGCTAGTGAGAGAAGCGTTGCTGTTTGTTAGCGAACAGACTCAAATTATTTCCAATATTTTATTGTAGTCAACTAAAATTCTTATTCCATTCCCCTTTGTCATTTACTTTCTTCTTCTGTCCATAAACAAATGTCGTCGTAAATAGATATTGTCTCTTTTAGATGAATGCTACTTACGTCGTCTGGCAAAGAGAAAAAGAAGATAAATTAAATGTGTATGTTTGTGTTTCTCTGTTTGTGTTTCTCTGTTTGTGTTTCTCTGTTTAATAGTAACATATTATAATTAGAATACCTTTTAACCAAAAAAAAAATACATATTCTAATCAAAATAGTGAATTCCTTGGTCTTTAGAATTTTACGTGATTTTTAGGAAATATTAACTCAGTGGACCACGTGCGACCATATTGCATGTATCTGAATCCTCTTACGATGACACGTAAAACGTTCATAACAAAAAGTCTCCGTTTTCGGAATTATAAATATGCAAACAAACAATTAATATTAATTGTGTATCGTTCGCTGACGTTATACTGATATATCTAATAATATCGACTTTTTCATCTTATATCCGTTGTTTTTCTTTATTTTCATCATAATTCGTATTATCGTATACATACCGACTTTCGATTACATATTTAGTTCTCATTTATTTAACACAAAATAAGTCCTCTTTGTCCACGTAATTCGTATACATACCGACTTTCGATTACATATTTAGTTCTCATTTATTCAACACAATATACCTCCACTTTCTCGTGTATCCCTACTCCCATATTCCTATCTTTTAGTTCTCGTGTATCCCTACTCCCATATTCCTATCTTTTAGTATTTTTTTATAATTAATGTAGAAATTGATGTTGATTTAATCAGTAAGATGAAAACGATGTTCCTTAAAATGGATTACGAGAAATCATGATTCAGTTTTGATATAAATAAGATGGGAATATGGTTTTAGCAGTACATCGATGCACTTTGAATAATTTTCAGTTTCTACTATGAATAATTTTTAATTTCATAATCATCGGACTTATTTCTAATGATACCGAGCAATTGATGATACAGATATATGCTACTGGCAACTCGCAAGCTGGATACAGAGTGCTAGCTGATATTCAATTTGTTCATTAAATTCAGAAAACAAAATTATATATATATATATATATATAAATTCAGAAAACATATATATATATATATCAGTAAAAATAGTTAAGAAAAGCAAAAATTATGTATTAATTTTTAGTTCTTAATTGCTTTTTGTAATTGATTTGATAAATACTTAAATTTTATTTATTGTAACTAATAACAGTACAGTATTGTATATGTCTGAGTGTACATTTACATATATTTGAAACACAATAAATATCCGCTCTTTCAAACGTTTAATATTTATAAGATATTTTATTTTAATGCAGAGATTTTATAGTTTTATTATTTTGACTTACCAAGAGAATTTAGCTTCTCATTTATAAAACGAGAAGACAAAAAAGAATCTGGAACTCTTTGGTGACGCCTTGCCACTTGGCTGGAATGATTTTCACAATTTATTACACATCTTACATCATAACGTTTTTTCCAACATCGTTGCATTTTTAATTCTTCGTAACGCATGTATTCCTAATTTCCTTGTCAGATTATTGACCAAAGAAACAGGAATGACTTTAATACTGTTTTGGAAATGTACAAGGGTGTATATAGATTCTTTTGACCCGAACTTTCTCAATTAAAAATTAAAGGATGTTAAACTTGTATATGGACCGAGTTCAACTACTATTTTGACAACTTAATGCTTAAAGAGTCATGTGGCCCATTAACGAGCAAAATTAGTTTGGATCAATGCTTTTGAAAAATATAAAAACCCAATCATATATGCATTCTATTACAAAGATCTACAAATAGAAAGAGCAATCGACGCCGAAAGAATAGAAATGGCTATCAATTAAATTTGTAATGATGATCCTAAAGAAGAACCATTATCTACTTATAGATGATAATGGTGTGTGATCATTAATAGATATTGCTTAACTTTATAATCTTCCACTAATTTTAGCATAACTATATATATTCTATCACCGTTAAACCAATCCATACATCTCTCTTAAAGCTTCTAGACAATACATTGGACATTAGCTATTACAAGTAAAAAGACATGTGTTAGTCTCAATTTTGCCACATGCATTATATCGTTTAGGTAGGTGATGCACCTAATTTTATAACTTGGTGAGCTTATGCATAAAATTAATTTTGGCTGATAAGTATACGTACTTTAAATTAAGAAATGGGACTTCAGAACATTGGATCTAAAACTTTTTTTTTATCGGAAGCATTTTCAGTGGAAGACATATTTTTTAATAATAAGATGCATTTTTTCTATAAATTCATTAAAATAACATATTAAATATAATTTATTTAAAATTTATTCAATAAACAAAAAATAATAGAGGACATGTGACCCCGATCGACTACATGTACGTTTTGTCTTTGCATATCATTGTCTATACCTATATAAAAAAAAAGTTTAAGAAATGGGATCAGAAAAGTAATAAAGTTTCTAAATTTTAAAAATACTTGCATAAAGAATATGTACATATCGTGACGATGCCACTAGAAGAAAAAAAAATATATACATCGTTTAAAAATCTTTAACCAAAAATTGACAATATTGTATATATAGATGTTTTATTGGTAATGTAATATGGAAGTATTTGTAAAAATTATACATGTGTCATAGTCTTATTTCAATATTGTTAGATAATTTTTTAGTGTTTTAGTAATAGTTTCGCCTCAATATTATTTTCTATATTAATTTTTAATTCAACATGTGAACAAAAAAAAGAAACAAATTATTTCTGTTAAAAAATTTCATTGGTTCTGCCAAAATTGACTACGATTTCTCTGGACCCCGCACGCCCAAGTGAGGAGCAAATAAGCGACGATAACAAAATAAAATTTATCCACTTAAAACCTGCCACATCATCCACTTTGACCATAATCATCGCGCTGCCAAAAACAAAAAAACTATGTGTCCAGGTTCAATGAATCTGGATTCACCTGGCTCTTCGATTTTGTTATTTAATGCCAAAGCTTCTCAGAAAGCATTTGAAAAGAAAAAGAAAAAAAAAACGATCGAACAGATCAAATCCTAGAGAGCAAAAACTGTTTTCAATTTGAAATCTTTCTGTTAAAGATGGCAATGGCAGCAACAGTTTCTTCTTCATCTTCTTCTGGGATCACGAGCTTCTCACGAATTTCTTCAGAGCCCAAAGGTAAAATTAAGTCTCACTTTTATGGATTCTTCAATTTCTCGTCCGAAATCTGAGAAATTGTTTGATGGGTCAATGCGAGTTTTCAGTATTGCGTATCAGATTCGATTATAATCAGATGTAATTCGTGTTTTCTTCTTACAGTGTCGCAAATCGGTTCATTGAGGTTATTGGATCGTGTTAATGTCACTCCGATGTCTCTGAATCTATCTGGGAAGCGATCTTCTGTGAAACCTTTAAACGCAGAGCCAAAGACAAAAGACTCTATGATTCCTCTTGCAGCAACAATGGTAGCAGAAACTGCAGAGGAAGTAGAAGTAGTAGAGATTGAGGATTTCGAAGAACTTGCAAAGAAGCTAGAGAATGCTTCACCTCTTGAGATTATGGATAAAGCCCTTGAGAAATTCGGGAACGATATCGCCATCGCATTTAGGTATCATATACATCTAAGATTGATTCATAAGACAAAACATGACAAGTTTTGTTCATAGACTGATCTTTTGTTTCTTATGTTTACAGTGGTGCAGAAGATGTTGCTCTGATTGAGTATGCGCATTTAACTGGGAGACCATTCAGAGTATTTAGCTTGGATACAGGGAGATTAAACCCTGAGACATATAGGTTTTTCGATGCGGTAGAGAAACACTATGGGATTAGAATTGAGTATATGTTTCCTGATTCTGTTGAGGTTCAAGGCTTAGTTAGGAACAAGGGATTGTTCTCTTTCTACGAGGATGGTCACCAAGAGTGTTGCCGTGTACGAAAGGTGAGACCTTTGAGGCGTGCGCTCAAGGGTTTAAGAGCTTGGATCACTGGTCAGAGGAAAGATCAATCTCCTGGAACAAGGTCTGAGATTCCAATTGTTCAGGTTGATCCGGTTTTCGAAGGCTTGGATGGTGGAGCTGGTAGTTTAGTGAAGTGGAATCCGGTTGCTAATGTTGAAGGCAATGATGTTTGGAACTTCTTGATGACCATGGATGTTCCGGTCAACACATTGCACGCGGCAGGGTATGTTTCGATCGGTTGTGAGCCGTGCACGAGAGCGGTTTTACCGGGACAGCACGAGAGAGAAGGGAGATGGTGGTGGGAAGATGCAAAGGCTAAGGAGTGTGGACTTCACAAAGGGAATATCAAGGATGAAGCTAAAGGGAATGTTGTAAATGGAGAATCGAAATCTGCTGTTGTTGAGGATATTTTCAAGAGTGAGAGTCTTGTGACTTTGAGCAGGCAAGGGATTGAGAATCTGATGAAGTTGGAGAACAGAAAAGAGCCTTGGATCGTTGTGCTTTATGCTCCGTGGTGTCCCTTTTGTCAAGCCATGGAAGCATCGTACGATGAATTGGCGGATAAATTGGCGGGAAGTGGGGTTAAGGTTGCGAAATTCAGAGCAGATGGTGACCAGAAGGAGTTTGCTAAGCAGGAATTGCAGCTCGGTAGCTTCCCGACCATACTCGTCTTCCCCAAGAACTCTTCAAGACCGATCAAGTATCCGTCTGAGAAGAGAGACGTTGATTCTTTGGCTTCGTTCTTGAATCTTGTCCGGTAAATAAACCGCGAAACCTGTCGACATTTCCTCATGAGAAAGAGAGATCAAATAAGAACCATTTCATCTCGTTCCAGATTGCTAGAACAGATAGAAATTGGTGAAGTTGGTATTGGAGAATCATTTCACAGCTTTAGGTCATAGAGTTGGAGATAAGCTCTGCAACAAAGCTTGAGTATTTGCAGTATTGTAATATTCTTAAAGTTGCAAAAAAAAAAAAAAGTTCATGTAACTTTATGGTTATTAGTGAAAGAAAGCTCCTGTTTCTTCTTTGCAATCTTATCAAAACAGATGAAGTTTTGATTTTTACAGCATTAAGTCACAGAGTTATAGAGATATGCTCAAAAGTGTTCATTTTTTTCATGTAAATTTATTTTTGGTGATTGGTAAAATCAAGCACCTGTTTCTCCTTAGCATTCATATCAAACATATTTCGAAATTGAGATTGTAGGTTAATAATCAAAATTAAGATCATGTGTCTTCGCTTTAATATCATATTATCATCAGATGCTAAGAATTACCTCAAAGCTGAGATTTTCAGGAATCAGAAGCAGAGTTAACAATTGATGCCTTTCCATATAAAATTTGTGGCTATTACTGAAGACAAGCTCTTTATCAGCAAATACAAAGAATTACCTCAAATATCAGACTTTAAGGAATCAAAACCAGAGTAATTTAAGCTGAGTATTGATGATTCTCCATTTAAACTAGTGGCTATAAGTAAAAAACAAGCTCTTGTTTTTTCACATACATATCAAGTACAAAGATGTTACCTCAAAGTTGAGACTTTTCAGGAATCAAAACCAGAGTAAACACCACTCTCTCTCAACTGCCTCTTCTCTTCTTCAACGTAATTCTTCCCTCTACTCGCTTGACCCAAATCTCTCTTCTTCTTCTCCTTCTGTGAAAAAGAAAGATTCTTCTTATCACTACGCAGCTGCGCATTCGCAATCGTCTCGCCACCTGAAACCGCAGCTCTTGTAGCTTCTCGATCTCCATAACTCTCTTTCACTTCCTCTACTCTTTGTTTATCCTTTCCCGTAGCCCATGACCAATCCGCTTTCTCCTCAGGTAAAGTAATATCTGGAAGACCAACAGCTTTGTAACCATGCTCTTGCAGAGACTCATAGTCAAAAGCTTTCTTATCTTTCTTAGCAAACCTCGCTGCAACCGTAGAAGATACAAAACAAGACAAAGTTACATGAGAGATATCTCACAATGTTAAAACTCCTAAGAACAATGAAGTTTTCTTCTACCTATTGTTTTCTTGCTCTTTCTCTTCTTCTTCTTCCCAATCTCTGTATTATCCGCATTTGAGTCAGAAGCAGAGGACGATGATGATTCCTCAGATGAGTCTTCATCATCATCATCACCCCATCGCATCATACCTTTCTTCATGGTAAGAAATGTTATAAATCTGACAACGAATCGAATCTCCATTAGTCCAATTTACCAAACAAGCCAACAGCAACAACAAAAAAGACTCAAATTTTAAGAGAGAAAGTAACGAGCTTTCTTCATTTCTGACGAGGATTCACAATTAGTCAAAAGCCTGTGAATTTAGATTGTGCCTATACACATTCCTCTGGGGTTCGAGATGAGGATATTTGGTCACAATTATTATATACGAATCAAGCATCGAACTTTTGTGATCTAATTGAAAAACCCAGTAAAAAGGAAGAAAAAAGGAGCTTTAAACCCTAAAATGAATCGGAGGTCCATGAAAGATGGCAAATCAAATTAGGTCATACCATCGGCTTCCTAAAACGATTATAGTTTGAAGTTACCTTGCTATTCAACGATGACAGCCGTTCGAGCGGCGGCGACGGAGACGGAGACGGCCACAACAGGATCAAAACACTGATTCAAAAGCCATAACAGTGTCAAAATCCGTAAATGAAGAGAACTAGGAATTAACCAGTCCAGACAATTATTTTATTTTAAATAACTTTTTTATAATAAACGTTGCATAATTAGTATATTATATTTTTGTAGACTGAAAATATGATTTAAACAACTATAAACTTTTTAAAAAAATTTAATTGTTAATAAATTTTATTAATTTTATTATATAAATTAGATTTTTATAAACTAAAATTGTGAAAATGAAATACTGTTAATTTATTTCTACACTTTATTCATATTTTTTCTATGAATATGTTTTTTTAGATAAAATATAATTATAAATATAAGACAAAAAAACATAACTATTATACTCTTACTATTTATATGATAAAAATTATCTCCTTAATATTTCTACTAATTATTTAATCTCTTCTACTTTATTTTCTCTCAATTTTTAAAAAAATTTAATATAATCAAATTACATATTAATTGATAAAAAAAATTTTAAAAAAAACAAACAAAATTACCTTACCTTGTAAAATCCGCCTCCTATCATCATCATCATTGGTATAATCATTTTTTTGATAATCTCATCTAAGCTTTGATTCATTCACTGTCAACCAGTTTTGAATCGTCCAAACTTGCATAAAGTACAAGTTAGAAGTTGGATATGTCGAACCTGACATAAGCCGAGTGATCTCAAAAAACGACTTCAGAAAAACAGAAATCTCTTTAGTTCGATTCCATTCTTCATCTGAAGGAAAGAACTTGTAATTTTTCCCGTCAATCCTTGCAAAGTTAGAAAAAGCAGCTTGGTACTCGATAGCCATATCAAGTATTTGGTAAGTCAAATTCCATCTCGTTTGCACATCCAAAAGCAAACCTTTATTCTTGTCTAAGCGCACAGTCTCGACGCATTTTCCAAATAGTATCTCACAAGAGTTGGATGCAGTTACATATTTGATACTCTCTCTGATTTTATGCAAGGAATCACCAATAACTTTCAGCCCATCTTGAACAACAAGGTTAAGTTGAGCTGCACATCTAACATGGAAAAATTCTCTCCCACACAGCAAACCATCTCGTAGAACAAGCTGAGATTTCAAAATGTCTTGCATTGAATCTTTGCTAATAATGTTGTCTACTGTGATCGAGAAAAACCTTTTTCTGAATTTCCCATTCTTGCCAAAACTCAAGAAGCTTCATTGCTAAATTGATACATGTATGTGGTGCTGGGAGAGCACAAGGATTTTGTTGTTCAGTTTCTAGTTTCGGCAGTGTAATGTGCCGTGATACACATGTAGCCTTCATGCGTGATTGCAGACCACAAGTCAGTTGTAAAACTAATCCGTCCATGAAGACTAGCTAGTTCCCTCTTTAAATTAGCTGTCTCATTCTCATAAAACCGATATATATCTTTTACAGCTGTGTTGCGACTTTTAAACTTAACCGATGCACATCTCATTCTCATAAAACCGATACACATCTTTTCCCTCTTTAACTTAGCTGTTACGAATCAGCATTCAAATATCTCCAAACTTCTCTTACTCTTTCGTACTCAACATAAGCATACGGCAAATCATGTTGAATAATTGTCTTAGCTACTATCTCACGGAAAACAAAGTGATCAATCTTCCATACTTATAATTTAGCATTTACAGTTATCAACATGTCACCAACGGGTTTTTGGGTGTAAGGCTGCGTCTTTTACTATGCCTTCTTAGAGTATTAGTACCATTTTTGTGAGAATCATGCTTATACTCCTTACAATGCTTACACTGTGCTTTTTGCTCGCCATCTTTCTTAGTGATCACTACAAAATCAACCCACACATCCGACCACTTCCTACAAAATCAATTCACGTTCGCCATAACCAAAATTCTTAGGAAAACCCAGAAAAAAAAAAAACTGAATCGTTTCTACTTCATTATTTACCGCAAACGCAAACTTCAAGCTCAATCAAAAACCTACAGCCGTTACGAATCAGTTTCAAACTTAAATCCATTTCCAACAAACTTCATATCCGTCCATATTCTCCTAGAGTAAATGCCCACTATGTGGAATTTCAAAGAGCAGATCATCCCTTTATCCTCTCACCTTATGTCCACTATATAAAGGAGATTCCAGTCTGCGGCGGAATCCAAATCTCACCTTACGCCCCACATATCATAACATATCACCACATCAATGGTTGATGGTTCCACCGAATCGATTATGCTTCCTCACATTTCCAAATTCACCGACGACAACCAAGTTCAAACTATAACGCTTTAGCCATTTCAAATCGCAACCAGCACTCCACCCTCTGTGTGTAATCTTTCATTCCGCACAATCTCGGCTTATCTTTAACAAAAACCAAAGATTCGCTGTTTCTGCACAAAAGACAACTCCTTAAGCATCAAGCAAAAAAATTAGAGCGAACAGGAAATCAGAATTATAGTCTTCGACGTTTCTATCTAAGAAAACTTTCATATCTGTTTTCAACTTTCAGCAAGGAACCAAAGAAGCTCCAGTAGTATTGTCATAGTAAATGGTTTAGTGAAAGAGGATCCTTGTTTACGAAAAGCCACCAAGAACAAGTTGAGGTATATATATATATATATATATATATATTTGGTATCATTCTATATACAACAAAAATCTGGCGTATTTCGCTGATTTGTTTTTCATATTCTAACAATCTGTTTCCATTTCCCAGTAGTATTTAGATGATTTGTGGAGATTCAAGGCTTCTCCAAAATATGTGTTTTCAAATCTTGCTAATTTAGTTGCATCTTTGCAAATATTTAATTTCACAGTTTTGTGAACATGAAATGTAAGAGTAATGGTTCATCTCATTATCGTTTACGTATTCACACTGTAACTAATTTCACTCAGAAGATTGTATTTATAGTCTCACCTCAGGGGACAAACACAAAGGCTAGAGTGGAAAGTATGTACCATATAAGGAGCTATTTTGTGAGATTTCATTTTCTGATGAAATTTTATTTCATGCTTGGTTATTAAATAAATTATAAAGATCTTTTCAAATCTTTTTTCTCTATAATGTTTGGGTATTTAGGGTTTTAAACAGACTATAATAGTTAATTTTGGAAAAACAACAAATTTGAAAGATGGTTGATACAAATTTATTGTATGAATTGGTTTTTGCTGGATCCATGGGGAAGAGTGTAAAATATTTTCAAGGAACAATATATGCTAGGTAAAATGAGTATTAAAGGTATGGTCATTTATTGTTTTAACAGAGCGTATTAAGACAGTGGTCGTATCAATCAAAACATGCGGGATAATAGTTGAATAGACCTCGCTCTACAGTTAAGAGTGGATTTTTATATCATACAAGATGAACTCCATTAGAGCAATGTATGGTTCTCTTATCCTTAGAGTTTTATTCCATATTAATTTTTTGTAAGCTTCTGTAGTTTCTGATTTTGGATTTTACACATGGATATAATATGTTGACAATGGTTTCGATTGTATATGGTTCACATGTTATACTCTAAACTTTTCACTACTTGTAATTTCTTTTGAAAACTGTATGACTCATTTAGAGTCATGGCTTGTAATGGTTTCTTTTAATGAATAATAAAAGTAAGGTTAACTAAAAAAAAAAAATATATATATATATATATATATATATATAATATGTTGACAATGGCCGTTGTCTCAAATTCTTGGAATTTTGATGATGCTTCCAATTCCGACCTATTGATCTTAATCATTGGTTATAATAATTAAACATAAACTGATTGGATGACTATTGACATAACTTGCTTCGATTTTTTCATTTCTTCACTCTCCTTGACTGTTTTCTTATATGATCGATAATATAAGGACCATCAAATTAAGCATCTATGACCCTACCAGACTTGGGGTAAGACGCTCTCAAATCAGGGCGATGGATTCATCTCTTCATGTGAGTAATGTGCAAAGTCTACATTGGAAACTCATACATCTTTAGTCCTCAGAAACAATTCAACATTGATTATTTTATTTCCCATGACAATGCATATAAATTATGAAATGGTATGTATTGTTCTGCAAGTATTATTCGTTCTGCTCTTTTTAGTAGAGGCACAACAATTTGATAAACCTACAATTTGAAGAAAGAGTGCAAACTACAATAACAGAGGAAGAGAGAAACACCCATAGTCGTTTAGTGTGAAAACATGGTAACAAAAAAAAAAAAAAAAACAAACTGTAATGTAAAGAACTACAAAATAAGCAGCTAACAAAGAGGCATAAAATGCATAATTACATTTAGTATACAATATGTGACTTAGCTACTTGAAAAAATAAGTGAACTCTTATTTTCATCTCATTGATCCATAAAATTATTTGAACAAAAAATATATAACTATTTCAGGTTTTCAGTTTAAAATTATTAAATTTGTCAAACCAAATTAATATAAACAAAAATAAACAATAGATACAACCTACGCGGGGTCAATCCCTAATATACTTAAAAGTTAGTATCACAACACCTATTCATCATGCCGAAGTTAGTCTTCACAAAATGTGTGATCCATAATAAGAACCTTGTTTGGCCCATTTTTTTTGGCTAGTAGGGTCTTATGACCTCACACAACATGAGATAAACTCATCATAGGTAAGTGAAAACTAAAGTTTTGGAGTTTTTAACTTGCATTAGAAAATGTAAAAGTATAAATTACATACTTAAAATTGACTTTGAAATAATACTATGTCCAAAATATTAGCTCAAACTTTGCACAGATGAATATTAATACTAAAAAATATAAGAAAATCTATTGGACAAGTGAACCACTACATACAACGTACAACCACATAAGTTGTTCCAGGGCATTAGTTCCTTACTTACAACATGCTTCCAGTCCAGATATTCATTATGACTACTCAAAGATATCAAACCGATTTGTCTTTCTTTATCTATAAAACATGTTTCATTTTACTTGAATTTTTTTCACTTTCTTGAGTTTCTTCTTTAGCATCAAGTTTGATCCAAACTACAGAGTTTTAAAAACACAGAAAAAAAGTTCATGATTAGACATGAAGATAAAATAAATAAAAAACATGGATACACATGCATGTGACTACTTACCCTAATATTATGGCTTTGATTGATGGACAGGCTACACAAGCTCTCCAGCAAGTGCTTCTGCTCAAACTTGTTTTCTTTAGAGTGTCTATGTCTTCAGTGAAATTCTTTGTATTCTCATCACTTTGTATTTTTCTACTCACATTTTTCGGTGGTGTCACATGCCCATAAGGGTTAGCTCTAAGATACACCATGTCCATAGACATTTCCTTAAATTGATCAGGATTTTCAAGCTTAATGACAGTAAGAGTTTTAGACAACGTTGTTCCTTATTCAGATGCTTTTTTCAATCAGTACATGCATCATAATCCTTTCTTTGAAAACGCCACTTTGAAACTCTCAAAATGCTTCACAACTTGTGTTAGATGCTGATCCACATCACTTAATTCTGATTGATCACGAAACAGAGATACGAAGAGGCTTACTCAATCAACCATAATATTGAACTCGTGAGAAAGTAAACAGATGCACCAATGTCTAAACATTCATAAAGCAAATATAATTGAAAGGTATAAATCAAAGTCAACCAATATAACTCATGAATTTTGATCCAGAGAAAATGTAGCTACACTCCGCTAAAAGAGATTTCCAATAATTAGGGCTTCAGAGTATTCTAAATTGATATACCTAAAAACATCTCCATTGGTTTAGAACTCCATTTGGTATCTTAACAATAAAATATAAATCTTTTAGTATGGTTGTTTTAATTATAAAATTCAATTTAAATCTAAAAACCAAGAATGAATCAATAAAAATAAACAGGTGTTAAGGCCTCTCTATAAGTTGGAATCCGATTGAAGAAACCAAAGCGAGATACAGAGATTTCTACGATTCTGAAGGGAATCGATAGAAGTTCTTCATCAAGCTGGTCTCTCAGTTGCAATCGATTGAGAAAACAGATTTCTACGAGTTCAAAGAGAATCGATGCAAGCTTTTTCAAGCTCTTTCCCTCTCTCAACCTATTACAAATTGGAACCGTGTTTTGTCTTTTATACTGTGATAATTACACATTTACAAGAAGACTACGAACTAACTTAACCGAACATTCACATTCAATTACTACTCTTCTGGTTTAACTTTGAACCGGTTTAGCTCGTTAATCTATACTTAATCGACAAGAAAGAGAAAGAGTAAACTAGGGCTTTAGCAGTCTAATTTTAAATGGGCCCATTAGCTCATCTCAAACAGAAAGAGTATTTTAAAAGGTATTCCATTTGAAAGAAAATTAGTAAACGCCTAAACGGAATTAAATTCTTTTGGATTTGGTTTACAAAGCTGTTACAGATAAAAAATGCGGATCGTAATTTTATCGGTTATCTGGTATGAACACAGTTTCTCAAATTTAATAGGGAATAAAAAACTGACAGACAATTTCGCCTAATTTTTCATATACAATTTTAAAAATATGATACAGTTTTGTTTATGGCAAATAGATGAGAGGAAACAAAACAATGTAAACAGAGTCAAATCAAATCAAATAGAAGATAGAACCTTTGTTCAAATCTAGTGAGAAAAGAGAGCTCAGAAGATGAAACCCAGAAAAAGACATTATTAAGGTCGACGAATCAGAGCGTAAGCTAGAAAAAAAAAAAAAAACGAATGTACAATCATCAAGAAGGTCGAACTGTCCAAGCAGAGCTAATTAACAGGCAGACCCAAATGTGTTCTCTCCACTGTATGTCATGTAGAGAAACCCATCTTCGTCTTTGTGTTCTTCATAGATTGCAGACATCAATGCCGCTATTTGTAAGAACAAGAAAAGAGAGAAAGATAGATTCAGAAAGATTCAAATCAAAACAGGAATCATAGAAGTTAACGATTCAAAAAGTTTATAAAAACTTTATAAATCCTTTACCGGTTGGGGGCAATGTGTTCTTGACAAATACAAAGATGGCTTTTTCGGCTGCAAGCTTGATCCTTTTCCGCACAACGTATACAAACTGTCCAACGGTAAGATCAGCCGGTACAAGATACCTAAGAGAAGAAACAAGATCAGAGAAACATGATAATTAGATGTAACTTCTAACATTAAAACCAACAAGCAAAAAAAGAAAGCTAATGTGATGCTATCTGCACTTAGAACTCATCTCAACTACAAACGAGCTTAATAACCCATAATGGTTTAGCTTAGACCGACGGAAGCAAGAGTTTGTCACACAAGTTTAGAGTATAAACGAAACTCAAAGCTCTATAATACCAAAACAAAACAAAGACAAAACAAAAAAAAATCCCCTTGCAATGTCTAACTAATCAGCTAGTGACTAAACGTGTGCTTGGTCATCAAAGACAATAACAGAATTACCAAACAAAACCACAATTGCATAAGGCATCAAATAGACTGAAGAAGCTAATTTGGATTCCAACAAGAGAGATATGAATCATGTTACTCACTTCTTCTTGTCAATGTCAGGGACATCACTCTGTCCAGCTTTTTCCACAATCACCTGTATTTCAGTTTCTAATTAGAACAATACAGTAAGCAGATTAATTTTGTAAGGTATCCGGAAAAATTAAGAAAACATACGGGAACTCTGTCTGGGTATTTCTCTCTGATACGAGTAGATTCAGCCAGTCTCATCTCTGAGATACAAAACAAAAAAACAAAACAAAACCCATAAAGATTCAATCACAGTTAATGGATTAGACAAGCAAAGAAACATCCTTATGGTTCACTGGATTCAATTAACCTCCAATGAAATTTGGAAGGAACAAGTAACTAAATCTATCTTTCAAGATTCGACAATTGATTTGATGTCATCATCATGAGAGTGAAGATCAAACACAAGCAGAGAAAACCAATATCAAAGATCGAATCAGAACCATATGCAGAAGTTAAACCAGAACCAACAAACTCTTCATCACGCTAATCAAAAACCGAGTTCCATTAACAACGATCAGAATCATAACACAATCTAAAGCAACAATATCCGATCAATGGTTCTTTATACGCTTATCGAGTGACATCGATCAAACAAAACCTAAAAGAAATCGACCAAAACAAAAATTGCAGGAACTGACCGAGAGGATTAGAAAGCTTGAAGGAGTTCTTCGCCATGGTGATTCGATCGATATCTGCGATAATTAAGAGAAAATTAAAAGTTAAAACTTTGACCAAATCGGGGTAAAACCCAGGATTCGATAACTCGAATTGAGAAGACAAGAGGCGAAATTAAACATACCCAATTATGATCAGTGGGAAACTAGGGTTTGATGATCAGAGCGAAAAAGAAAACAAAATCGGATTTGATTGAAAAAGAAGAAAAAGTGGATCAAAAAAAGTAAAGAAGGAAGCGAATATTTAAAGGAATCGACGATGGATTTAGGGTTTAGTGATTGTTACCTGCACGGCACCGAAACTTGTCTTTGGTGTTTACTTGGATTTTTATATTTACTTAAATTTATTAATTGACTTACAAGGAAATTACGTCGCTTATCTTACGTCAGCAAGATCATACGACGTCGGATTGAAAGTTTAATGAGTTTCGTGGGCTTTTGTGGGCCTTTAAATGGGTTTGGAACGTTGTTGCACTTTCTGGATCTTTTATATAATCACGATTTTTTTTTTTTTCAATATAATCATGATTTGAATTGTTATTTGGCGTGGTTGTTGGTTTCTTCTATACATTAAAACAAAATTAGTTTCAACTAGTAAGACAAAATCTGTGCTACTCTCACAAATTTTATATACAAACATTAGTTGATTCTTACGTATTTGATGTTAATTTGTGATTTGCCGTCGTATGTTTTTAGAATTTTAGATTTCTATAAAACAAATATAGGTTCTACTGACGTTAAAAAAAAAATAGTTTCGACTATTAAACAAAATCTTTAGTACTTTCAACATTTTATAATAAAAATGTCTTTTTTTTATTCTAATCTCGTGATGTTTTCTAGTTAGATTATTATTCATCTCACTATTCATCGACCATACGTGTCCACCGCTTTCGTTCTACAAATCATTCACCGCTATTAAAATATAATGAAAAAAAGAGTATTCCAAATTATTCATCAAAGACGTCACAAGAAAATCATGCATTCAATCCTTAAAAAGTATAAGTTTGATGAAAGAATAAAACTGATTATTTGTATTATTGTATATAACCATTTTGAATTTTAGATAGATTGTTGTGGTTGAAAACGTCTCCAGGGTATCATAAACTCAGCATTTTCTTAGAGTGTGGTTCTGTTTGCATGATATTAGGATTCCATGAAAACGGTGTAGTCCTCAATTTGGACCTAATGAATGATTTATTCGATAGTAAATTTGTCAGAAACATAAATTATCAAAAGTTACACACTTAATGTTACGATTTTATCAGAAGATACACACACATACCTTTTTTTTTTTTTTTTGGCTTAAACACACACACATACCTCAAACAACTTAATGTTAGCTAAAAAGACATATTTAATAGAAAACATTCGTAGGAAAAGACAAACAACTTGCACCAAAAATGGTGAAGAACTCAAAGAGGCTCCAATTAAAGGTCCTAATGGATATGCCCTCTCTAGCTACGCTCTAATTTAAGATCACAAAAACTTCATAGAGAAACCAAAAAATAACAACAGAAGAAAATAAAATGGGCCCCAATGCATGGGGCTGACAAGTCATCATCATCACTATGATACTTATCTACTCTAATAAACACATTGAAAATAATAACAATAATAATAAAAAAGCTTAACAAAAGACTCTTGGTATAGTGATCCCCACATGATGATGACGACAATGACATTGATAATGATGATGATGTGGATACCATAAAGTTGAGTTTTTCATGATGATAATGTTTAACAAGAGTTATGGGATTCATGCTCCATGCACATGGATGATGGTAATGATAATGATGATGAGATATTTTATTCTACTTACTCCAAGAATCCAGTTTTTGTCAAAACAGCATTTCTCATTTTGCTTAGATCTCTTCCTTTAAGCGTTCTTCCAACTCCTTCACACATAGAGAAGGATGAGATCTGTCTTCTTGCTAGCTTTCTTGCAACCCATTCATGTGGAGGAACCATGCAACCATCATCATCATCGTCGCCATCATCATTAGAATGCATATGGCTGCTCCTTCTGTTGCTCTTTGTGTTACCATAAACCTTGGACCAATCAGGAACATTCATAGGTGCAGATGACTGTTTTTCCCCTGAGACCTCCTTGCTTCTATGAATGTTCCATGGTGAAGATGAAGAGGAAGTAGAAGAAGATGAGGAAGAGAAATAACTTTTGGGTATTCTCATATCAGGACCTGAAGTTTCTCCTTCTCTTAAAACTGACCACACATCTTCTTCTTGAAACTCTTCGTCCCCTTCTATTCTCATTGAAGGAACTCTTCTGTTACTATTTTGGCTTCTTCTTGCTCCAGAATCCATAGATATATAGAGGGAGAGACAAAGAGAAAGAGATATATAGATCAAGTCACTTGATAATAAGTAGAGCCAAGAAAGAAATTCTTCTACTACTAACGCAAATTTTCTTGCTTTTTAAAGTTTTTGAGTCAGGTAATAATATATGTAAGAATGTGAAAGAAGAGAATCACAAACAACATTAAGCCATCTCTCTTTGCTGGCTAATGAAAGAGAAAGATAAGTCATGTATATGTAATATGTAGAAGCTTCAAAGATTACAAGAGCCTCTCAAAGAGAGAGAGGTTTCACAAAACTCCAAAAGTCTAATAATTTTGATTTTTTTTTTTGCAATAATATTTACTAGTCTCTAATCTCTATATACTTCTTTGGAAAATAAAAAGTCTCTAAATGCTTCTTAAAAAATAATAATAAACAGTTTGCATTACAACTTTACAAGAGTAGTAGCCTTTGGTACTATTTTCTACTGAGACCTGCCAAATCATTGACAGAGTCTGATTCATACAATAAGACAAAAAAAATGTACTATATGAAAGGACTTTGCTTTTATGTCAAATTATTTACTTTTAAAAATTCTTTTTTCTGGTAAACTTTAAAAGAGTTGTGACAAAATAAATGTTATACATCCCAAAAATAAGAAGACGAAATTAAATTTAACTCAAAAGCGCCTTTAATGATGTTACCTGATTAGAGTTTTACTTACCATCTTATCCAAAAGAAAAGAGAGAGATCACTTCTTGCATTCAAATTTACGTACTACTATAGTACTATTTGATAATTAGATTCTTCGATTTATTTTACTGTATGAAAACTATTGGAAAAGTGTACACAAAAAAAAAATATTTTCTCTGTTCAGAATTATTTAATTATTTGATGTTTAAGGTTTTTGCACAAAGTTTAAGGATTCATTTAATTTTTATTTTTCTTATACTAAAAATATTATTTATAATTCCTTTAAATATCATTCAGCCAATAAGAAGATAGTCTGCAGAATATAAAAGGTCAAAAACTATAAAAATTCATTAAATTTTGCCTTAAAAAGTGAGAACATCAAATAATTCTGAACAAAAAAAACCTTCTAAAACATCAAATAATTCTGAACAGAGAAAGTACAATTTACTGACCACTCAATAATGGTGAACATTTTTTTCGTTCACTTAAGTTTAAGATTAGGAAAGATTAAGAATTTGTACTCCAGAAAATACAATGTCCAAACACTAACGTAAAAGATTTTAGAAAACTCATGTTGTAATACTGAGGACGAACTTCCGAGAATGACCAGGAAGAGAGAAATCGTAACAGATTTTTCATTTTTCCACAAGGAGAAGGTAAAAAATTTCTCGGAATACTAAGAATCAAAGAGACTTCAAAGTTCACCACTTAACCACTTGATTTGCGAACACTAGTTTTTTTGGTTAATTTCTCACTAGTTATCCTATTATTGGTTTGCTTTTGGTTACACTTATTAATTCCGGTTCTCTTATTGACATTCGTGTTTTGAATAATATGCGAACATACCGTCAAATAACAACATGCGGACCTGCCCAATAAAAAATCACTTATCCGGACAATAAGAGAGGTCACGAAATTTTTCTTTGGGTCAACCCTATGGCTTGACTTCGAGTAATCGAGTTGATGATCATGTAAATAGCTAAATTAATTGTTAATGGTCTTCTATAGTAATTTAACATATATTCTTCAACGATTATCTAATGAATATAGGTATTCAAAAATTTCATGAGCATAAGTTTTTCTTTTCATTTGCGTTTGTACTTACATAATTTACAAATTCAAATTAGAATTATGAATTTAGGGAAATAACATACAATTGATTTAACAAACAAGAAATAACATACAATTGATATACATATCATATTATGTGGTAAGATGGACATTGTTTTAACTCGGTTATGTCTTCAAACAACGACGTATTATGTGTGGAAAGAAAGAAATGTGATGTGCTTATACACCGAACGAGCTTCTTCTTGCCTACGATTCTTACCAGTTTGCAAGAATTGTATCTCCGTTACGATTTTAAAGAATTACTCCGCCAGTGGTTTGATAGTAGACCAAACCCGGCTCGTACCGTCCATATATAGTATATATTTTTTTTTTGTCGTATATAGTATATATATTACTATATATATGAGTTTCTTTAACTATCGACTTAAGGATAATTTTACTTTATCAAAAAAAACATATTATTTTTTTTTGTTTTCGAAATGTTAAATTTATTAATAAAAAATATTTACAAAGCTTTAAGCAAAATTCGTTTGAAGGATATAAAAATTAAAAATTAATTTTATAGCTAAATCTAGAGCCATATTGGACGTTTCCTCTCACAATACAGCATCATTGCATCAAGAATCTAAGTTATGTCTTGTCCTCAGAACGAAATAGTGAAATACACACATAGGTACATTAAACTGGTACAAAAATGTCACGACAAAAAGTCTCTGTTTTTTCTTTTGTCAACTAATTAAGAAAAATTCATGTAAAAAATTAAGAGCCAAAAAAAATACTATTTATAATAAAAACAGAGGTAACGACAAAATATATATACATACACATATAATATATAAATTTCCTTTCAACTTAACAAGGTTTAGAAATGAAGATATTATTTCAGATTAATCATTTAAGTTTTCAATTGTTTTTTTCTTAACCTTAGTTTTGAATAGTTACAATAGTTGAAACAATTTAATTTGGTCTAATCAGTGCTATATAATTATAATTACAATTATTGAAAAAAAAATTATAATTACGGAGTTTATGCAGTGTTAAATTATTGATCAGTAAAATAAATGATAAAATAAAGATATATGTTTTTGTATATACATATAATGAAACAGTTTACAATGATAAATATATATGTATATAAACCAACCACACATATACAACAAACAAACAAAATGAAAAATTGTAAATAACTTATTATAAAGGAATAAATAATAACCATAAACTCTAATTATTATCATTTTAGTTGTACCCATAATGTGGTTTTTTTCCTTCCATAATATGGTTACAACTGCAATTCGTGCATTTGATCGCAATAATCATTAAAAAAAAAGATTGTCGACAACATATATTATACCAAGTTTAAACATAACGACGATACTACTATAAACTATTGTGATATAGTTTATCTAAGTTTTTTTTATGTAAATCAGACAGAATAGGTAGAGATTATTCTACGGAAACATCATTTTACCAGCCAAAATTTGATTTTATATATAACATAAAAAACCAGTTTATATATTCAATTTTTTTTTGTAACATCTTAGATATTCAAATTAACCTTCAAATGCTATAACAAAAACAGTGTGTGCATATATAGATGGCTATCTTTAGAATTATTTTGAAGTCGAGATATAACTAGAAACGAGTAGTGTTACGAGTGTAGAATGGTGATTGGTGTGGACAGATCACTTTACACAAGCACACAGTACACAACACTTATTAGTTTCAGCAACCCTTGTGGCCTTATCCCTTTCTTTTAAAGTTTGAACTCCTTCTCACCAACACAAGCTTCACTTTAAATTACTCGAGTAAACGAGCAAAAAGATTAGTCACACATATTCATGTATCTATTTTTGCAATCAACTATTAGTCAATTATTATATAGGAAACAAGACCCTGTTTAGACCTACTCATTCTAAGTATAAAGTTTTGAATGTTGGAATAACAGTTTTGAATTGGTTTGTAAGAAAAAAGGAAGTGTGAGAAACGTTGTACAATGTGGAAGAGATAAATATTAGATAGAATCATAGAACCGAGAAATCAAATATGATAGGACTAATAAAGAGCAGACATCACAAAAAAATAAGCAGACGAAGCGAGGTAAGCATATCTAACAAAACAATGATAAAATACTACTAACATAGGAGAAGTATTGATAATGCGAGAGTAATGTTCAATTCTTGAAACAGCCGGTAACCAACTGTTTTTAGTATATTTTTTTGAAAACATAAATACTCGGAGTTAAGAGAGTTAGTAAAAAAAAAAGAATAATTGTTCAAATTTCTTTACAAAATTTAAAGCAAATATAAGAAACAACAATTTTATAATTTGAATATTAAATGATGGGATAATCAGTTTTTATTGGTAAGTTTGAAAAAAAAAACACACAACGAAGTGTAATAAGCATCTTAGAGTGGATAAAACATATAGAATTGACGAAATAAATAGATTAATAGGAAGCAAATGGAACAAATAAGCAAATACAACAAAAAAAATTGTCAAATCATGACTTAAAAAGTGATAGTGCCTATTAAATTCAAACTGATTTGTTATAAGCCCATTTTTTAGTTGCCAAAAATTCTGCATAAAATTATTGTAACAATAAACTTAAAAATGCATACTTTTTAAGCAAAAATTCGACATCAAATTTTTGTAGAATACATGTATTTACGCATTATTCATCAGCATTCGATGACAAGTGTCGTTGCTGTATTTGCTTATAAACTTGGTTGTATATTACTACGACTCGGTTTACACAAAAAGAAGTAATAACAAGACATTAAAGTAAATCCTATTGACTAATGTAGTTTGTCTAATCCGATAATTTCTTTTTTTTATTTAATCACTGTTGATCGAAGAGTATTATCTTAAACCTGTTTTTTGATTAGTATCAGTATCTACCGACTTCTAGTTCTAGGGCTTTGATGTAACTAAATATTAGCTGTAAGCCTGTAGTTTGTGCCTTTGTGGGGTAAAAACTAATTTTTATTTAGACAATCGATTTGTTAGCTGTCTTAATGCTTCGTGGGTTTCGCGAAGTATCTTTTCTTTCTTTCAATGCACGGTGGTATTTTCGCTGCCCCAAAAATTTTAGGTCCTTTATTTTTTGGGGAATGAAAATTTTTTTAGGTCTTTTAATTTGCTGGAAATCCTTCAAAAGTTTATACCACTACCAAAACGGTCCCAAACTGTAAAAAACAAAAAAAATCACTTTGTAAATAAATTGTGAGTTTTGTAAAAAGAAAAAGTGCCGAATTTGTATAAGTTTATGTGTCTTATGGTTAAGTCTCAAAATGTGAGAGAAAAAACTTAGCTAGACGTGGTTCTTTTTTCAGAGTAAAAGAGAGCCTTTGGATTGGAAAAAAGAGAGTTAATAAGGGCTTACCCGGCACGCCGGGTAAAAGAGAGTTAATAAGAGCATGTACACCAGAATATAATAATTTTTTTTTTGGTTTTAATTTTTTTTTTATTTAATTTGAAAATTATAATTTTTGACTAATCAGAATGCTCCATTTCGGATGATATCGTCTCTTTAGGTTCGTCGGGATGATATTGTTTCTTTAAGATTAAACTCTTTTGTCTCAAAAACTGTGTCATGAACCCCTTTTGATCCCCTGATATACATGCTAGAACTTACCCTGCATGCTCCTGATTTTGTAGGTTGGCACTATATTCCTGAACTTTGTACTTAGGAAAATATTGCCTTTTTTTTTGTAGAAAGGGTTTACTTAGAATAATATTCTCATAAACACATGTAATCCGAGAGGCCTATGTATATGTTTTTCATTTATTTAATTTTTGTTTTATCTCCTAGAATGATGTTTTTTATGTGTAAACATTTTTTTCAAAAATGTTAGACTACTTCTCGATTTATGCTATTCACATAATGTATATGGTTCCAATCTACTCGGATGTAAAGAACTTCTTAAATGATGTTATTTTAATTCAAGAGTGTTTTTCATAAACTAAAAAAAATTGGATCGAAGTTTCAAATAACTTCAGCCCTAGGCCCTAATCCAAAAACAGCTTAGTTGTTTACCTTGGAAAAAATTCTGCATGATAAATTTGCGAAATTGAGTACGATGAGTTTTTAGCAGGTTGGAGTCTTGATAGTCTGCGTTAGCAGGACGGATAAGCCGGGAGGGAACACCTTTATTAATGTTCATAAGTATGATTGTAGATCAATATTGTTGATATTTTTTTTATTTTTTCAATAAATTCATTGCCTTTTTCTCAACCTTTGCAGGAGGTGGAGCCGAACTCTTGTCCTTAAAAAAATTGCAAAGATGGTAACGCTATTGGAGCTAGTGAATCCGAGCTAATGGTGTTGATTTTAGGAATCTCACAGTGTATAGAAGATAAAGTTGGATTTGAACTAAGAAAACAAATCTTAAGATCAGGTATCATAGACACTAACAATAGTACAATACTAATGTTTAATTTTTGTTTTCCATTAAGGTCGATGAGAAGGCATGTTAATTTGCCAAACCTTGGAAAAGTTCTATGTGTCTCAGCTCATGCTCTTTCTTTTCACAGAACTGAAGAAGAATGTTGTCTTAATATATATCCATAAACCTGAAAGATTATTTTCAAGTAATGTTTGGTGCACATACAGATTTTGAGGGTGACCTACAAAACATTAAATGACTTCATGGGACATTATGCATTTATGAATTATGCTAGTCGATTCATTCGCAAAGGAAACACAAATTGTACAACAGTTGGAGTTGACCTTTGCCAGGAAAAATTTACAGTTAGAGTTAGCTATGAATTCTAACCATTTATGTTATATAAAGATTATTCATTTTCTTTGGAATATAATCTTAGGATGATTGTTTGTTGTTGAACTCATCTATTTTCTTTTTGAGTTTCCTTTTCTTTATTTGATCTAATTAAATATAAAATGACATATAAAATCATTTGACAATAGATGACATGACACCCAAAAAAAACTAGAATCTTGTCACCCATAAATTTATGAACTTATGTGATTGATGAATATGATAGGATTATGCAACTAATTGAGTACAAAAACAAATCTTATTCCTTCAAAGGATCCTCCAAAAGCTCCTCATTCACAACCAGAAATCTTAAAATCTTCAACGAAGATTTCTTATACTTTATCCAATGACAGGCCAAAATAAATACATATCCGCACCGCATTATGTTTTGTAATTCCATGATAATAAAGAAAGGATCATAACGAGTTCTAGATCATTATACATTATACGAACGAAAACGAAATAAAAAAAGAGAGTCTGCCATATATCAAAGATGATCAAAGAGGTTCCAAACAAATCAAGCCTGTGCATTAGCTCCAGCAACAATCTCAAGAATCTCACCAGTAATCTTAGCTTGACGCTTTCTATTGTACACCATCGAAAGCGATTTCTTAAGATCCGAAGCATTATCCGAAGCACTACTCATTGCACTCATTCTAGCAGCGAGCTCACTAGCCAACGACTCCTGTAAAGCCCTAAGAATCTGACTGTTAAGATACAGAGGCAACAAAGCATCAAGAATCTGAACAGGATCTTGCTCGAACTGCAAGATCGGAGAGAAATCAGCAGTTGCTGTCCGGAAAGTCTCTCTTTCAACGGTCAGTTTCCCTTCTTTCGTCGTTAACCTGAACAATTCGTCTTCCGCAGCATCCACACAGTTGCCGTTGATGTCACAGATCTCTCCTTTAGGAGACAGGGGCAATAACGTGTGGATCACGGGTTCTGATTTGACCAAAGACACAAACTTTGTGTACAAGAGCTCGACTTTATCGACTTCTTCGCTTATGAACAGAGAGAAGACATCATCAGCCACGGCTTGAGCTTCTTTCGCCGTCGGTAAAGTCCCGGCTTCGAGGTATTTGTCGACGGGGATGTACGGACGACGGAGGAAATACGAGTTTCCCTTCTTCCCCACGCTAATCACTGTGTAATCAAGACCAAGGCCTTTAAGCTCTTTGATCCTTGCCTCTGCTTTCTTGATGATGAAATTGTTGAATCCCCCGCATAATCCTCGATCTCCGGTTACGACAACGAGGGCCACTTTCTTAACCGGTCTGACTTTGGTTAAGGGCACATCGATGTCATCGGTTTGAAGCTGTTCGTTGATGTTGTAGAGAACCTCAACTAGGGTTTCTGAGAATGGTCGGCCATTGACGACAGCTTCTTGTGCTCTCCTGACTTTTGCTGCAGCGACGAGCTTCATTGCTTCGGTGATCTTCTGAGTGTTTTTGACTGAATCGATTCTGTCTCTGAGCTCACGAAGAGACGATTGGATTGGAGAAACAGAGGAAGATCTTGATGGAGATGAGTTGTGATTTGGGAGAGGAAGTGGGTTGAGAACAGATCGGAAGGATAAGGAAGAGGAATCAGAAAGAGATGGTTTTGACGAAACCCACATTGTTGTTAGATTAGTGCAAGCCATTGTTCTTGATCTTGGCGAGAGAGAAGAGAAGCTTTTTTCTTCCTTTTTTTTTTTGTTTGTTTTTGTTGTTTGTTCAGACAGAGTTTTTGGCTTTAACCTTATCTCTGTTCTTTGATTGTAGAAAGAAGAAAGGAATGAAGAGAAATTGAGTGGAGGGAAGAGAAGGTAATGGATGAGGTTTGGAGATAAGGTTATTTACCTTTGTGTTTTTGAAGTCTTCTATGTAGGACCCATTTGGTTTACGTGGCGTTATATAAGTGGATAATCCGAGATCTTTGATTTTTTTTTAGTGGGCACATATCTACTTAGTTTGTTTATCAGCCAACCAATGCTTAGGAGTTTTGAGTCTCTCCCAATGAGAGGAAATATCTGATAACAAGTGATAGAAATTAGTGTGTTTCGGTTTAATTTGGTTTAGTCAGATATATTTGTACTTTTATGCAATTGAATACGTTACAAGTTAGTAGTACGTTACATAGCTTTTGAGCCGTTTGTTGAAATATACACATGGACAAATATTCGTTTGCTTTGATTTTTTATCTTGTAATTGGTCACCAAACACTGTTTTATCACTACGATCAATTTCTCAAGGGTTTGGACCAAGTCAATAGACCTTCATCAGACTACACATTTGGTGTTACTAGTTAGGTCACGACTCACGACAATTGCACCATCTACCCAAACCATGAGTTGAATAGGTCATAAGGAGTAGATTAAATTCTTAAACCAAACCGGGTTAAATCATAATATTCGAACCCAAAACCGGATTCGAGAGATTTTAAAAACTTTCATCACTAAAATTTTTAAGGAAAGCACAAATGAAAACAACTAAGAGTGGTTGTGGAGAAGAAGATTTGTTGTACTGAAAACGCTATTGATAGTGCTAGTGTTCACTTACTCTACTTGTTTTAGTGGTTTGAGAGGGAGCTGTAAAGAAGTTTTTCCGCCTTTTCAGAGAAATCTAATCAAGAGAACTAGCTTCGATCTCACATAGTTCACTTAAGAGAAATGATTATGTTGTCAAGTAAAAATTAACCGATTGTTATGTATTTGAAAATCAAACAATTAAAATAGACAAAAACGAGCTTTGAGCAAGTATAACTAAATGGTGCAAGTAAGATCAATGAAAAGTTGAAAACTCTAGTCAAGAGGTGGATAAGGAATGTTTTGAGCTTTGCGAGAAACATAAGGGAAAAGCTAGAAACATAAGGGAATACTCTTGACTGTGCGTTCTATTATTATCTTTTTTTTTTTGTGAGAAAGTGATTGGTATTAAACCGCATGGTAATATCCGACAAAAGAAATCTTTGATGGATGAGAACTTTAAAGTCTTGAGCGTACGTAATTCTTCTTCAGTGTACTTAATTCTTCAGTGGACTTTAGGGTGTTCAATATTAAGCTTATTACGTAATGTCGTATTAATCTATCTAAACGACGACGACTAAAAAAAAAAAAATCTATCTAAACGACGACGGCTATGACCGTTTCGTACGACTCACTTTCGTCACCGGATCTAAAGGGGTTTATGAAACCTTAGCTAGGGTTTTTCCACCGGAAGAGAGAGAGAGATGGAGTTCGAGAAGAGGAAAGCTGCGACGCTAGCATCAATTCGTTCATCGGTGACTGACAAATCCCCAAAAGGCTATCTCGATGAACCCATCGTCCCTCTCCTCGAAACCATCAATCATCACCCATCCTACTTCACCACCAGTTCCTGCTCAGGTCGAATCTCTATCCTTTCACAGCCCAAACCGGAATCAAATGCTTCGACGAAGAAGAAAGCTCGCGGCGGCTCGTGGCTCTACATCACGCACGATCCAGCAGATCCGGACTTGGTCATTTCTCTCCTCTTCCCTTCACAGTCAACTCGGATTGACCCACTTGACCAGCCCAGCGAATTAGTCTTCCGATTCGAGCCGCTGATCATTGCAGTGGAATGCAAGGATTTGGGTTCGGCTCAGTTTCTCGTCGCGACTGCTATCTCCGCCGGGTTCAGAGAGTCGGGAATCACGTCTTGCGGCGATGGCAAAAGGGTAATTATAGCCATACGGTGCTCGATTCGGATGGAGGTGCCTCTCGGTGATACGGAGAAGCTGATGGTTTCACCAGAGTATGTGAAGTTCCTTGTTGACATTGCCAATGAGAAGATGGATGCTAATAGGAAGCGAACCGATGGGTTTAGTCTAGCTCTGACAAGTAATGGTTTCAAAAATCCAGATGCGAATGATGTGGAAGACGATGATAATTACGAGAATCTAGTTGGAAATCATGATTCAAGTATCAACAACGGAGACTTGCATCCTGGTAATTCCTTGAGCCATGGTTTTATCTTCTATAATAGAGTTTGCGTGTATCTCTAAGTGATAGCTTGAATATTGCAGTAGAATTGGACATGTTACAATCTCAAATGTTGCGTTTAACTAGCTTTAGTGTAACCTTGGTCGAGAATTTGAGTTATGCCTACATGGTTTGCGCAGGATAACTTTCCAAATTTTAAATCATTGGCAGGGCTTCAGCAAGAACTTATGCCGCTATCAGCATTATCCATTATCGGCGAACCTGTTGAAAAGCTCCACCTTTGGGGACATTCAGCTTGTACGATAGGTAAAACAGACCGAAAAGAAGTTATCGTGTTTGGTGGTTTTGGCGGTTTTGGTAGACATGCTCGAAGAAACGAGTCTATGTTGCTTGACCCTTCTTGTGGCACCTTAAGTTTGATCGCAGTCAATGGATCTCCATCACCACGACTTGGCCACACGGCTTCAATGGTTGGCGATCTCATGTTTGTAATCGGAGGCAGGGCTGATCCCTTGAATATTTTGAATGATGTGTGGATGCTTGATATATCTAAGTGTGAATGGAGCTCACAGAGGTGCAGTGGAAGTGAATTTCCTCCAAGGTATAATGTAATTTTATATGTCTATTTTTTCAACATGTCTTTGACCTATTGCCAATCACGAACTTTACTGTCTTTAAAGATTGCTTTCACGAACTGTGTATTTTGTATCATTTTAACAAAAATTCTCTGAGATGCCCTCAACGTGATATTTTGTAAACTATGAGTTCTATTTTTGTTTTGCACTTGGTTTAATGCCTATGTTGCTTCATTTCTTTGATTTATTACATGTTTATGTTGCTTGTTGCATTGATATCCCTTTATTGTCATCTCCAATTTTCCTTCTAAATGCAAATTCTTTGAATTGAGCAGGCATCGGCATGCAGCAGCCACTGTTGGCTCAAAAGTATACATATTCGGTGGGCTTAACAGTGATAAGATATTATCCTCTTTGCACGTTTTGGATACAATGGACCTTCAGTGGAAAGAAATTGAACAACGAGGTCAATGGCCTTGTGCACGCCACTCTCATGCTATGGTTGCGTATGGGTCGCAGTTATTCATGTTTGGAGGGTACAATGGGGAAAAGGTACTCGATGACCTATACAGCTTTGATGTCCAAAGCAGTTCTTGGAAACTTGAGGTTGTTTCTGGAAAATGGCCTCATGCCAGGTTTTCCCACTCGATGTTTGTGTATAAGCATATCATTGGCATAATTGGAGGTTGTCCTGTTTCACAAAATTGCCAAGATTTGACTCTGCTAGATCTGAAGCACCGATTGTGGAGGAGTGTCAGATTGGAATTTATGAACAAAGAATTATTTGTCCGAAGTACAGCCAGTGTTCTTGGCGATGATCTTATCGTAATTGGGGGCGGGGCTGCTTGCTATGCCTTTGGGACTAAGTTTAGCGAACCAGTGAAAATCAACTTGCTTCAATCAGTGACTATGTTTGAAAATCATGTTCCTCCCCAATCTGAAGATGCCTCTATAGAAGTGGATAAAAACGACGCACATTTCAAGACTAAAACTTCTCTGTCTCAACCCTGGGTGATACAGTTAGAAAGAAAGTATGCAAAGTTTGGCAAGGACATACTTAAAAATTTCGGATGGTTAGACCTTGAGAGGAAGGTTTATTCACACGAAAAAGGTCTTTATATCTGCTTCCCCGTGACTGAAAAATTCTCTGAACTTTTCCATGAAAAGCAGCTTTTGGGCAAGGACTTCGAAGGGTCAAAAGATAATTACCTTACCGGCCAGCTCACAAAAGGTCTATCTTTAAAGGAAATATCCAGTTCGGTGGCTTTGAATCTATTGGAGGAACTTGGTGCTAAAAAGTTCACTAATGTAGCTGTTGAAGCCAAAAAAGTTGCAAAGTCCCCGTTACCGAAAATGAAAGAAGCTATCACGTCTATACTTCAACAGAAAGGCCTATCGGAGGAGCTTCTGGATGAGCTTCCGCAAAGGTAAGTGTTCCAGAATGCTGATTTTGTAATGTTCGGGGACTAAATAGTTGTTTTCACTTGTATATGATAACAATTGTGTGTTTCCTCTATTGGTAGATGGGAACGGCTTGGAGATATTGTTGTGCTTCCTGTAACATCTTTTAAAGATCCAGCTTGGAGCTCTATAAGTGAGGAAGTTTGGTCTGCTGTTGCTATATCGCTTAGTGCCAACCGTCTTGCACGCCAAGTATGGCCCTTTTAGAACATCACACTGAGTTATTTAAGTGGAAACCTTTTGTTTACAACTTCATCGGCTCGTGGAAACCTTTTCTTATCTATTTATGTTTGATGCACCTAATGAATTCATATTTAAAGTGGTAGACTTGTTGTAAGCGTTCTGTCTCACCCCAATTGTAGTAAGCACTTTGTCTCACCTCAATAACCTTTGCTTACCAGGGACGAGTGGAACCCAACGGTACAAGGGATAGTACATTGGAAATTCTTGTGGGAGACGATGGATGGGTCGATCATCGTGAAAATGGGATATTGTACTCTTTTAATGCTACAAAGTGCATGTTCTCATGGGGTAATCTCTCAGAAAAGCTCCGTATGGGTAACATGGCCTGCGAAAATGAAGTTGTGGTAGACCTGTTCGCTGGAATTGGATATTTTGTCCTCCCATTCCTTGTGAGGTAGGCCATCAAACAAATGAAAGCGGAGAAAATAAACTTTTACAACCACAAAACCAATACAGTCTAGATTTCTTGCATCTTCAATTCATTCCTATTATACGTTTGCAGGGCAAAGGCAAAGCTGGTATATGCTTGTGAATGGAATCCCCATGCTATTGAAGCACTTCGACATAACGTTGAAGCAAATTCTGTTTCTGACCGTTGTATCATTTTTGAAGGGGATAACCGGACCACTGCACCCAAAGTACGGTTGATGATATTCCAGAACAAATCGTTATCTATTCAATCTTATGCAAAGTGTTGGACTGAAAAAAAAATCGCTAGAGTAATAGATTTTGGGTTTCAAATATTTTGATTCTCAGGGAGTAGCTGACAGAGTCTGTCTTGGTCTAATCCCGAGTAGTGAAGGAAGCTGGGTCACAGCTATTCAGGCATTAAGGTGGATTACTTTCCCTAACATAATTTACAAGAACCTGCAACATTAAAGCTTGAACTAACTCAATAGAAGCAATTCTTGTTTTCTTTCTTTGACATTATTGTGGATTTCTTGAAACTTCATTCCCTAAATCTATTGTGGCTGCCCCGCCCCCTCTAATTTGGGGATGTCTGTTTCTTATGCTCCACTCTTCTTGAAATTTCTGAATACCATCAGATAGAGAAGCCGATCGATATGATTTCACTAATGTCTCGGTTCTTGGTATTGGAACTTGCAGGCCCGAGGGAGGAATACTCCATGTGCATGGAAACGTCAAGGACTCAGATGTGAGCAGTTGGGCCGAGCATGTCTCCAAATCTTTAAGTGATATCGCCAGAGCCGAAGGTAATTCAATTATTTGCATGTCTTTTTGTTTGTCAACAGCTTTTCAAATTGAAAGGAATGTCATGGTTTCTTGATTTGGGTAATTCCAGAGGATAACTGAGAAGTTACAATAGAACATATAGAGAAGGTGAAATGGATTTTAGAAGTTCTGTTTGGTATTCGTAAACCAGCTTACCCGACAAGAACAAGAACTGGGTGTCTTGATTGGGTAAATAACAGAAACAACTCGGGCTTATATGTTGGGGTTTTCATGGTTCAGGTCGTAGCTGGGAAGTTACAGTAGAACATATAGAGAAGGTGAAATGGTACGCTCCTCGGATTCGCCATCTTGTCGCCGATGTTAGATGCAGACATAGCCGTGTTCACATTGTAATATAAGAAACATGTGGCCTAGGCCTCAAATTTTTGAGAAAAACATGGAACCTCTCTTTGCAAGATTTATACATACATTTTTGTCTTTAGTTTTTTTTTTTAATTTGTTTTTAGTAGGCTCAAAAATATTGGTTACCGACTCTTGGGAAAATTAGAATAAATTAAATATATTCGTCTCAAAATTGAAAATTTTAATAAATTAAATATCTTCAACTCAAATATTGAAAATTTTAATAAATTAAATATCTTCAACTCAAATATTGAAAATAAGAATAAATTAAATAACATAGAAGATTAAAAGAAAAATTAAATAAAATGAATTAAAGCATTACAATATTAGGAATTTAGGATAAACAGTTTCCTTGTAGTTAATTCAAAGATTCTTACAAAGCATGTTTTTCTTCCTTTACATAAAAAAACTTATCCAATTTGGCACTTTAGATTACAATTTGGAAACATGATTCTCAAAAGAAAAAGCTTCCTTTGCAATTCTATCTGCCACTCGATTTACTTTCTTGGATCGAACATCACTTTGAGATTTTCAGAATGTGTGATAATTCTTTTAAGTTCTTCATCCAATTATGCATTAACTACCATCTTTGAATCGGATTCGATGATGACATTATGATAGTTGAGATTTGTAACACTCACCATAGCCCATCTCACTATAGTTCATCTTTTTAACGTTTATCAAAGTAATTAAGTTTGATTTTTGTATTTCTTTTCTTTTTTTTTTGCTCTTATTTCATTTTTAATCATTTTATTGGGGTTTTGTCTCAAATCCCAACTGCAAATATTGTGAAATTATGTTTAAATGATGCCACCGAATAACACAAAAACTATAAAATATTAGGTTGTAGAGCTAAGTTTTTGTTTGTACTTCTTTATTTGTTTTGTTAAATAATAATATTAATTTTTATAGACACATTTTTGTTTTTTGTATTTATTATTGTATACACTTATACTTACATTATATAAATTGAACATTTTATTTTTATTAATGTGTTTTTTAATATTATGCAAAATTTGTACAATCTAACAAATTTTCATCATTAAATTTCTAGAATAGAATAGATAAAATTTAAAATTTTTAAAATAACTATTTTATTTTCATTGTCTTCTGCTACTATTTACTTAAACATGCCTCTGGGAAAAATAACGATCAGCTAAGAGACTCCCTATTGTATTGTGCAACTTGTAAGATCACATTTTGATATCTGGTTTTTTTTCACTTTATGAGAAACTGATTTCACCAACTTAACCAGTTATTTGTACCGATATCATTTATTTTGTTTTAGGAAGGAGTGAAAAAAGGAAGGAGTGAAAAGAATCTGATTCATTTTCATTTTCATTTTCGGGTTTGAATGAATTTTTGTAGTTTTTTTCTATTTATGGCGAATAATTAAGATACTATCAAATATGTGAAAATTGGAACCATAATAAACACTTGCACACGTCAAAGGAAAATTACAAGTGGATATAAGTGGATATACTTTCCAAAAGCTAAGACATAACAGGATAAAATGTCAACATATAGATAAATGTATTCTCACAACGGTTCACTTCGGTTTAGCACTTCTTTCTTAAACCGTTATATTGGGTGATATACTTGGGTGATACACAAGAACAATAGCAGCATTTATTCAATTGACCGGAAGAATTTCCTCGAGTGGCTTTATGCGGCCACTATTCATCATTGTGCGAAATTCCTCATAATTTATCATTCCATCCTGCAAAAGAGGTTCATTACAAGATTTCAAAACCGGTTTAATCTTTGATGTTGGATCATGTACCGGGACTAACTTACATTATCGGTATCGACTTCTGATAGAATTTGGTTGATGCTATCTTCATCTCCCACACCATGCTCCTTCATTGCTATCTCCAACTCCTCCCTCGTTATGTGCCTATTGTTACGATTCTTTCTCATTGTTCCTCAGAAGAACATGCAATGATTTGATGTTTATATATACATATTTTCTAATATTGACTCTCTTGACACCAATGTATGATAGACCGATGATTGATTTGTCTGAATTCTGAAAAAAAAATGGAAGAAACTTACCCGTTCTTGTCTGTATCAATGTATTGGAATGCTTCTTTAACATGCTCCTCTTGATCCAATTTGGGTCTATGCATCATCGCAGAGATAAACTCGTCTATGTCTATTGTTCCATTACCATCCACATCAGCCTGAATGAGAAGTTATGCACCATGTGTTACAAAAAGTAATTAGTCAAGAAATGGCGGGTTTCAAAGAACGGTGGTTAAAAACTTACGGCTTCCATGAGTTGATTCACTTCGGTTTCAGAGAGTTTAGAGCCAAGTCTTTGTAGCCCGGTTTTGAGTTCTTCATGACTAATTGTGCCACTTTCGTCGGTATCCATGTCAGTGAACATTGTTTTAAGACTGTTGATTTCCTCTTCTGATAGATTCTTTGCCATAACCTGCAAACCACAACCGATGCATATATAGGAAGAAGAGATCATTTGCCAGGATATGAAATGTTTTTCCATTGATTAGAGCACACAAATTAGTAAGCTGTTTAAAGAGGAAAGCATTGTGGGGATCAATATTCTTTACCTTTAGAGCTACCTTCTTGATCTTGTTAATAGCTCCAAATTGCTTCAAACGGGTTAAAACAACTCCATCAATAGGGTTATCCGAAGCTTCTCCGTCTTTGATCCAAGCATTTTCTATAAACAACATGGATGGATAGTAGTAAAGCATTTAAAGACAAGAACAAGAACAAGAACAAGAACAAGAGTTCAAGATTCACAGTGTCATTCTAACGCCTGACCGTTTTAACCTCTTTTGAGGATAATTCTAACAAACACTAACTATCATTTTCCAGTTTCTTCCAATATGGGATTTTCAACTTGATTTCTTTGAAGAAACACAAACTGATAGAGAGAACATTTTGTGCTGGCTCTAGAACAATCTAGAGAAGATAAATAAAAGGGGCTTACCAAGAACTTGTTCAGCAGAGATTCGCATCTTTGGATTTCTGTTAAGCATTTTCTTGACAAGATCTCTCGCCCGTAAACTTATAGAAGGCCATGGTTCGCTTTCAAAATCAATTTCCTTATTCTGAATCTCATTGACCATCTGTTCCTCAGTCTCTAACAATATACATAAGTAGCATATGAATTACATTTTCAAATCACAAACAAGAAAAAAAATCAAAGTAAGCTTTTAAGTTATTACTGGTCTCAAAGGGAGGTTTGCCGCAGAGTAGGATGTACAAAATAATCCCTACACTCCAAACGTCAGCTTCTTTCCCATAATTCCCTTGTAATACTTCAGGAGCTACGTAACAACCACTCCCGACTCTCTCCAGGCATACATCTCCTGTATTTGTTTGGTTACACAAACAATGCATCAGTCATATGAATGTAGGAATCAAATTAACCAATGTGGACAATCTGACCAAAAAAACACAACATAAACTTAGTTCCGAGTCCCATCAGAATTTGGATACTAATGAGACTTGTACAAGAAAATCTTATAGATTCAAAACATCCAAAACATTCAAACATTCATATTGTGCAGAGAACAACTTATAGAATCCATCCAAACATAAAAAGAGAAACATTCAAACATTCATAATTAGGCATACTCAGATCCAAAATCTATCAAAACTCACTCAAAACCGAAGACAATATAAACCCGATTTTTGATACAAACAGCGAGTCTTGTGCATTGGAACAAAAGTCACCAAAATTTGCTCAAGATTGAAGCAAACAAAGGCAGATTTTTTTTCATATTTGTGCAAATATCATACTCAGATCCAAAACATATCAAAACTCACTCAGAAACCAAGATATTATAAACTAGATTCTCGGTACTAACAACGAGTCTTTTGCATTGGAACAAAAGTCAACAAATTTTGCTCATGACCTAAGCAAACAAAAGAAGATTTTTCCATAATACTCAGATCCAAAACCTATCAAAACCCATTTAAAAAAAAAAAATAATATGATAGCATCTCGAGTTCACCTTCTTTGATGAACACGGCAGACCCAAAATCGATTGCTTTGAGCGTATCGTTACTAGAGAGCAAGAAATTCTCAGGCTTGAGATTACGATGCATCACACCCTTGGAATGACAAATCTGCACAGCATTCACAATCGGCTTGATGATTCCGACAGCATCTTTCTCAGAGTAAAACTTCCGAGTTTCGACCAAAGCTTTGATCTTGTCGAATAACTCTCCGCCACAAAACTCCATCACCAAGTGTACGGCTTCGTCGTCCTCGTAAGCATTCTTGAACTCGACGATGTTGGGTTGTCCAGATAAACTCTCCATAATCCGAATCTGTCTCTTCACAGAGTTTTCATCTTCTTCGCTCTTTAGCTTCGCCTTGAGTATCGATTTGCAAGCGTAAATCTTGCCTGTAGATTTCTCCACGCATTTTCGGGTTATACTGAATTTAGCTTCACCACCGACACCGAGTTTCTCTTTCTCTTCGATGGTGTAAAGCTTCTTGAAGTCCTCGGATTGGTCTTCAAGTATGTTCATTTTCTTTGATGGTTTTAGGTTCTTACTGCTGGAGGAACCCATTGATCTGAGTGGGAGTTTTCAGAGGTTTTTTTTCGTTGGGATGAAGAAGATGAAGAAGATGAATAAGAAGAAGATCGTCAACGTGTAAGATTTTTGGGAGATAGATATTTTGTTCTGTTTTTTTCTTTATGTCAAGTTTTCTTTTTTTGTTTGACTTTGGATCATAAATTTGGTTGATTTGGTCTTTAAAAAACTGTTTTTTTTTTTTTTTTTGTCGTGTCATCAACGGTCTTGAAATATCCAAATTCATATTTTGTCTTTTGTGTTTCTTTTATTAATTCATATTCTGTTTGAATAAGTAAACAAAAAGAAATCTAACTGATATAAGTTAGTAGATTCTCAAATGTTTAAAACCAATCTTAAATCATACAGGATTTAGAGGAAAAACAAATACCAAAACTTTTGGTCCAAAAGAATCACAAGTTACAAGAAAGAGTAACTATATGGACAAGAAACAAAAACAAGAGCTTAAGAGCACATCAATGGATTCTAACCAGTTTCCCTTGTGCTGCAATTTGTTATTTCCCATCATCGCACAAAATTCCTCATAGTTTATTCTTCCATCCTGAGCCGAATCCATTACAAGATTCAGAACCGGTTAATGTTTAACTGGAAAAAATAAGGAACCGGGAAATTATAGGGGGCGATTTACATTATCTATATGGACTTATAATATAATTATCTTGGCATAAGCTTCAACTGTTATACCAATGCATTTAAACCCAACTTAGACTGTGAATCGGAATGCATTCCAGGTCAGCGGGTCACCGAATCAAACCGCGATTCAACCGCGGATGAATAAATTAGTAGTAATATATATATATATATATATATGTTATAACACATATCATATATGGACTCTTATACCGGCCTACTGGGCCCATCAGGGCATTGTACTTAACCTAGATTCCCTATGTACTCTATATATACATTTCAGTAATTAATAAAGTTTCTAAGTTTTCACAACACATTATCAGCACGATAAGACTCTCTGAGCGAAAAACCCTAATAAATCCGGCCACCACCAAAACCCTAAAAGCAAGTCGAAACTTAAAAGACGCATATCTTCCAAACCGTGAGGAACCAGAAGACGATCTACATATCAAATCGAAGCCCTCGACGAGACGAATCTACTGGTGAAAACCGTTTGTCGATCCAACGTCGGACGCGCCCTCACGCACACTTACAGTACACGACGATCAACCGAAAAAAAAAAAAAAAACCAGATCCGAGTTTTTCCTTCTTCAACCAGCAGCTTCTCCAGTTTTGGTGATCAATCCTTGGAATTTGTAGCGGCTAACTGAGGTCTATTAGCTCCCAGTTTCATTAGCCTGTCAGAAATCCAAAGGTGGAAAAGGTATCTTCTAAAACTGAAAGCCATAGAACCTGTTGTTTAAACACTTCAAAACCCTATAAAAAAAAAAAAAAAAAAAAAAAATCGATCTCTAATTGATTGAAAGTGTTTGATACTCTGATGATTGATTGATAACTTGTTGATTGATTGTTTAAATTACAAGTTTATGCATGTTCAAAGGTTTTAAACTCGTTTTATAAAACCCTAATCTACAAAAACTTAACAACCGTTTTTGGCCATGTTTATGGCATAAACCTATTCGATTTTCTTCATGTTTAATAAGCTTGTTGCAGCTTATTTGATTGTTGATTCTCTTGCTTGAAACACTTGATTGAATAAACTAAGAAAATCAACCCTAAATCCTAAACTTGATTCACGATTTTGTAATCTTCAAAATCGTAAGTCATAATGCTTAAACCCTAGTCCTTTTCACGTGATTTCTTTGTTGTCCTTGTGAAATTATTAAAACCATCGACCACAGATCCTATAGATCTCGAAATCACATCCAAAATATGTTTTCCAAACCGTTAAAACCCTAGATAAAACCCTAATCATATTCGGCTCCCCTAGGGTTCCTCCTAAACCGCCTAAAACCGGCTAAACCTGGTTCTCATTAACCGAAATTATATTCGGCTTTAACCGATTAAATCACAGCTATTAAACCGACATTATGTTCGGGGTAACTAAAACCATACCCTTTAAAATTTACTATTTCCGAGAAAGTTCCCTCTAATAGAAAGTTTCCTCATATAAAAAACTTTCCTCATTTAGAAAATTACCCAAATTAGAAACTTTCCAAATTTAGAAACTTTCCTAAAATAGAAATATTCTCAAAATAGAAAGTTTCATCATCAGCATTCAAAATTTTCTCAAAACAATCCCTAACAAAATCAATCTCATGTTTCAGATGTCAAACATTCAGAAATGTGAATTCGAGGCCCTTCACGTCTCCGAGGATAACTACCTCGAGTGGGCCCTAGACATGCGCTTGTTCCTTGCATCGAAAGAACTCGATGCGTGTATTACCGACGGTAACACTGCATCCCGTAAGGGACAGTCTCAGGCGATATGTCACATACGCCATCATCTGGCCCCGAGCCTTAAGCAGCAATATCTCACTCTTGAGAATCCACTTGAATTGTGGCAAGCGCTGAAAAAGCGATATGACCATCAGAAAATGGTCCAGTTGCCTCAGGCAGATTTCGACTGGAAGAACCTTCGGTTCCAGGACTACAAATCCGTAGATGATTACAACAACGAACTCTTTCGTATTGTTGCCATCCGGAAACTCTGTGGCGAGGATGTGACAGATAATGATCTCCTCGAGAAAACATTATCCACATTCAGCACAGAGAATGTTGTGCTCCAACAACAATACCGTGCAATGAAACACACATTGTACGAAGACTTGTTGTCCTGTCTTCTCCTCGCTGAGAAGAATAACCAGCTGCTTATGAGGAACAGCGCTATGAGGCCCCCGGGATCGGCTCCTGTCCCAGCTTCTCGTCAAGAGTCCTACCATGTTCAACCCGATAGATCCTCAGATCACCGCCGTGGACGTGGTAATGGACGTGGTAATGGCCGTGGACATGGACGTGGAAGACGTGGACGCGGACATGGTCGTGGCAACCGACCTAACCTCAGTTATGGTCCTGGTCGTGGTCGAGGCATCACCAAGCCGACCCGCCACACCAACCCCGATCACTCTGCTTGTACCAGATGTGGGATGTTCAACCACCCAACAAAGCAATGTCGCACCCCCAAGATCCACTGCGATCTATACCAGAAGTACGGAAAAGCTCCTGCTGAAGCCAACATGACTCAGCCAGTCGATGCTGCTAACCTGGAAGGTGACGACCTCCTTGATGATGAGAACACCACAAACGAGCAGACCGACCCCATGGACTATGAAACAGCTGATCTCCTCGATTAATTCAATCATCTGAAACTCTGATACAATTTGATTTTGTTCTTTATTTTTTTTCATTTTGGGATTTGTTTCATTTTTTTCCATTTGCCTTTATTCTCAGACACTGCTTTACTTTATGATTTATCACATTTTCTGAATTCCTCAATACTGAATTCTATCTTCTATTCATAATAAAGCACACCAGCAAATGGAAACCATAGTCGTAGATAGTGGATCCAGCCACACTATCTTAAGAAACAAAAGTTATTTCATAAACCTAACCTATCGAACCGCAAATATTAGCACCATCGCGGGTCCCTCAAACCTTATCGAAGGATATGGCCATGCCTATGTGTTGCTATCAAATGGCACACAACTTGAAATACCAGATGCTCTATATTCTCCTAGTTCGAAGAGAAATCTTCTGAGCTTCAAGGATATAAGACAGAATGGTTTCCACATAGAAACCCAAGGTCAAGGGAACAAAGAATCCCTCCTAGTCACTAAAACCGTAGACGGCCATAAACAAATCCTCGAAACCATACCCGCGCTCTCTACTGGACTTTACCATGCTAAAGTCAGTATGATTGAAGCTAATACCACTCTCAAAGCCCGGTTTACTGATTATACTATTTGGCACGACCGGCTCGGTCATCCCGGTGCAAATATGATGCGTAAACTAATTCAAAACTCTCAAGGGCATACCCTCAAAGAAAACCGAGCTTATCCTCAACACCTCATGTGCACAGCTTGTTCTCAAGGCAAATTGATCACTCGGCCTTCACCAGTTAAAATCTCTAAACAAACACTTCATTTCCTAGAAAGAATCCAGGGCGATATCTGTGGACCTATACATCCATCTTCCGGACCATTCCGGTACTTCATGGTCCTTATAGACGCATCGACCCGTTGGTCATATGTTTGTCTCTTGTCCTCTCGGAACCAAGACTTTGCTAGGTTCTTGGCCCAAATCATCAAATTGCGGGCCCATTTCCCTGACTTCCCACTAAAGACTATCCGCCTTGACAATGCTGGTGAATTTACCTCACAAGCGTTTAATGACTACTGTATGGCCATGGGGGTAACCGTGGAACATCCTGTAGCACATGTCCATACTCAAAATGGATTGGCTGAATCATTCATTAAACGCATTCAATGGATAGCCCGACCATTACTCATGAGATCAAAGCTCCCGGCCTCAGCATGGGGACATGCAGTATTACATGCTGCTGAACTCATACGCATCCGGCCATCTAGTGAACACAAATATTCCCCATCCCAACTACTCTCGGATCATGAGCCAGACATCTCCCATCTCAAAACATTTGGGTGTTCAGTATATGTACCCATTGCTCCACCACATCGAACCAAAATGGGACCTCAAAGAAGGATGGGAATATATGTTGGTTTTGACTCTCCCACCATCATAAGATATCTCGAGCCAACCACTGGAGATCTCTTCAAGGCCAGATATGCGGATTGCCAATTCGATGAATCGGTATATCCCTCTTTAGGTGGTGAGACAAACAAGCTGGTCAAAGATCTTTCATGGAATCAAACATCATTAAATTGGCAAGATCCTCGGACTCTAGAATGTGATTCAGAGATCCAAAAGATTATTCATTATCAAAAGCTAGCTAATCAATTGCCAGATTCCTTTGCTGACCCGACCAAAGTAACCAAATCGTACATCCCAGCTTGTAATGCACCAGTACGAATAGCTGTCCCAACGGGACAGACCCAAGTTGCTACAGAGTCTGCACCACGTCTCAAACGGGGCAGACCTCTCGGTTCCAAAGATAAGAATCCCCGGAAATCAAAGAAAGGTGCAATAACCGAAACCGGGATTCCTGCAATATCAGACATAGCCGCGGCTGAGACTCAATCTAATGAACCCTCAATGGAAGTTCGGGACGCCGAATCTCCAGGTTCAGAAGATAACAATGAGATCTCCATCAATTACAATATGTCCGGAATACAATGAAATCGAAAAGAAGTCGACTTAAATGCACTCTTTGCATACAAAGTAGCACTTGATGTTGCGCTCACGCAAGAGGATCTAGAACCCACGTCAATAACACAGTGTACACATCGAACAGATTGGCTAAAATGGAAAGAAGCCATAAACGTGGAGTTAAAGAGTCTCAAACTCAGAAACGTGTTCGGTCCGATCATCCGGACCCCATCACACATCAAGCCAGTGGGCCACAAATGGGTCTTTGTGCGCAAAAGGAACGAACTCGGTGAAGTCGTTCGATACAAAGCACGGCTTGTAGCACAAGGATTCTCACAGAGACCCGGAATCGATTATGAGGAGACTTATTCTCCAGTGGTGGATGCAACAACATTCCGATTCCTCATAAGTCTGGCCATAAGAGAAAATCTTGATCTGCGGTTAATGGATGTTGTAACCGCATATCTCTATGGGCCCCTGGACAACGAAATATATATGAGACTCCCAGATGGCATTGAACTAAAAGACAAAAATGCATCTCGAGATCAATACTGCATCAGGCTGAACAAATCCTTGTATGGACTGAAACAAAGTGGGCGTATGTGGTACAACCGCCTCAGCGATTACCTCATCAAAGAAGGCTACAAAAATGACCCCATCCTCGGAACATCTGGTGAGATCTCCCAAACAGTCGACTGCTTAAAAGCAGAATTCGAAATGAAAGACCTAGGCAAAACAAAGTACTGTTTGGGATTACAACTTGAGTACATCAAAGGAGGAATCCTTGTGCATCAATCGGCTTATATCGAAAAGGTACTCAAGCGATTTAATATGGACCAAGCTCACCCATTGACCAGCCCAATGGTAGTTAGAAGCTTAAGTGATGACCCTCTTGGTCCCAAAAAGGATGATGAAGAAATCCTTGGTCCTGAAAAGCCATACCTCAGTGCTGTAGGAGCGTTAATGTACCTGGCTAGTCACACTAGACCAGACATATGTTTCGCCGTGAACCTCCTCGCTCGATATAGTTCATCTCCAACTCAGAGGCACTGGAACGGTATAAAACATCTCCTAAGATACCTTCGAGGTACTCAAGACTTAGGACTCTTCTATACTAACCAAAATAAAGATGGGTTAGTCGGCTTCACCGATGCAGGATATCTATCAGATCTGCACACTGCCAAGTCTCAAACTGGCTACGTTTTTACGCATGGAGGAACAGCCATCTCTTGGAGATCAATGAAGCAGACACTCACTGCCACTTCATCAAACCATGCTGAAATCCTAGCCATTCATGAGGCTAGTAGGGAATGCGTCTGGCTGCGCTCCATGACTCAGCACATCCGCAGAGATTGTGGTATGGATGAAGACACACAGCCCACGGTGATGTATGAAGACAACGCGGCATGCATAGCTCAGCTCAAGGAAGGATATATCAAAGGAGATCGGACGAAGCACATTCTACCGAAGTTCTTCTCAACCTCAGACTGGCATAAGGACGGCACTCTCAGCGTTCAGCAGGTCCGATCCAGTGAGAATTCAGCTGACCTCTTCACCAAATCATTGCCTACTTCAACACACCGGAAGCTCGTCAAACAGATAGGAATGTATAGACTTAGAGATCTGCAGTGATGCTACAATCAGGGGGAGTAATGCGTGTTGTACTCTTTTTCCTTCACCATGGTTTTGTCCCACTGGGTTTTTCCTGGTAAGGTTTTAATGAGGCAACATTCCCCAGCGCATTATCGAGATCCCGATTGAGTAGCTGGCCCGGTTCACTCGTCCAAGGGGGAGTGTTATAACACATATCATATATGGACTCTTATACCGGCCCACTGGGCCCATCAGGGCATTGTACTTAACCTAGATTCCCTATGTACTCTATATATACATTCCAGTGATTAATAAAGTTTCTAAGTTTTCACAACAATATATATATATATATATATATTGAGAATATAGTTAAAAAGTAATAAAATGATAATTATTAGCACAATTTCACAAAACATTGGTGGCAAATTAACATTAAAAATAAAAACAAAAATAAATATGAAGATTAATAATTTAATAGGAATGTAGATATTTAACATAAACGATGATAATCATAAAGTTAATCTAAAGTAAACAACAAAATAAATTATTAATGACGAAAGTGAAGTACTAAACAAATCATCTCAACCAATATTTGTTATCTCTATTACTATTCTCTTCGGTTTTTTTCGGTGGCATTTTCATCAACTTATTCTTTTTAAAAAAACTTACATAATTTAGTCAATATTATATATAACTAAAAAAAAAGAATATTAATTAGTATGTAAAAAAATACCATCATATAAAAAAATTTTAAATCATTTTTTAAACTTGTTCAAAATTTATTTTAAACCACCATCCACCAGTTCAACCACTAACCGAGTCGTGGGTTTATCGGATTTTTGCCGGTTTTTAACAGGATTTTATATAGCGATATTAGCATTAATCCCGAACTGGATTCTCCAGCGGGTCACCAGATATACTGGTCCAACCGCAGATCCAGATGGGGTTTAAAAACATTGGTTATACCATGCTCCCTCATGGCCCTCTCTTGTTCATAGTTTGTTATGTACCTTGTTATATAAACAAGCCAATTCACCTCTACATTTTTTTCAAATGTATGATTCTTCTTGATACAAGAAATGATTTGATTCATTTAACTTACCCACAACCTTTTTGTCAAAGTATTGAAATGCTTTTTACAAATTCTCATCCCTAATCGATATGTGTCTCTTCATCGTCGCTGAGATAAATTCGTCTACATTGCGTCTTCCATCACCATCAAGATCAGCCTGAACAGAGCACACACCAATATGTTAATAACATAAACATTCTTAAGCTTGTTCATAGCTCCAAAGCCGGCAAAGCGCTTCATACGCAATACGAACACATCATCAATAGGCTTAATTGGAGCTTCTAATTTGATCCAAGGATGTTCTATAAAAACGACAAAAGGATTTGCTAGTTAGATACAACCAAAAACTCACACAAAAATTTCAGACAGAGAAGATGATTGAGACTTCAAGATTCACATATTGTGTGTAGATGATACTAAAAGCTTGACCAAGAACATCTGAAGCAGAGATTCGTTTCTTTAGGTCTTTTTTGAGCATCTTCTTATAAAGGTCTTTGGCACTCACAGATATACAAGGCCATGGTTGGCTCTCCAAATCAAATCTTCTTTGCCTAATCTCATTTTCTACAATATCAGAAAACATAGAATATTACATATTAAACTACCCCTCAAGAAGAAGAATAACAATTCAAGGCTTGTAGTTAGCTTAAGCCTTTACCACTCTCAAATGGGTGTTTTCCACAGAGTATGAGGTATAATATAATTTACCCTTTTAATTCTGTTACTGTAATTGTTGGAAATACGACTAAATCTTTAAAAAAAATGGCATACTTTGCAATATGAGAAATTAATCTGAAGCTAAAGAAAAAATGACTAAAACAGAGTCTGTAACAGAGACAGAGTTAGTTGAGAGTTAGTTAGAAAGCTTGTTGCTCTGTTTTAAACTTATGCGGCTTTGTATATAAAGTTCATTGGTTAGATCAAGTTAAGTTTGATAATGTAACATCCCGATTTCCGGGTAGTCGGAAAGGCTTATAAGAATTGATTTGGCTATCTATGTCAATAAAGTGCACTTATCTTTTCCGGTCAAGTGTGCTGAGAGAACTCCAAAATTAAGCGTGCTGATGCTGAAGTAGTCTCAGGATGGGTGACCTACCGGGAAGTACTCTGCGGTACCGTGCGAGTGAGGACAAAGCACGGGAAAAGATCATGTGGTGATTGCAGGGACAGTAGACAAGTCTTACGAGCCTTCCGGACTAACGACTCCCGACCGTCGGACAGTGGTGGGCCAACGGGCCTAGAGAGGGCGTTGGGCCAACGGGCCTAGAGAGAGGACGTTGGGTCCACGTGCCTAGAGAGGACGTGGGGCTCACTGGGAGGGGCGGTTGGGGGGAGTTAGGATTGATATCGCCGGTCTGCGCCTGATTCCTAAAGGGAGGGCGGGTCGGGATATCACAAGTGGTATCAGAGATGACACCCAACCTCGTGTGTGGAGTCGTCATGTGGCCTCACACCGTAACAGGGTGAACGATCCTGGTACAAGCACTGTGGGGATAAAGGGAGAATTCGGGGACGAAATCCTTGGAAGTCGGGGAGAATTGAAACATCTCGATTTCCGGGTAGTCGGAAAGGCTTATAAGAATTGATTTGGCTATCTATGTCAACAAAGTGCACTTATCTTTTCCGGTCAAGTGTGCTGAGAGAACTCCAAAATTAAGCGTGCTGATGCTGGAGTAGTCTCAGGATGGGTGACCTACCGGAAAGTACTCTGCGGTACCGTGCGAGTGAGAACAAAGCACGGAGAAAGATCATGTGGTGATTGCAGGGACAGTAGACAATTCTTACGAGCCTTCCGGACTAACGACTCCCGACCGTCGGATAATGGTGGGTCAACGGGCCTAGAGAGGGCGTTGGGCCAACGGGCCTAGAGAAAGGACGTTGGACCCACGTGCCTAGAGAGGGCATTGGACTCATTTGAAGGAGCGGTTGGAGAGAGTTAGGATTGATATAGCCGGTCTGCGCCTGGTTCCTAAAGGGAGGGCAAGTCGGGATATCAGATAAGCTCTCTAATACGTTAAGCTCACCTTCTTTGACGTAAACCGAGGACCCGAAATCGATAGCTTTGAGCGCAAGATCATCACCATCCTCACTCCAGAAGAGAAAGTTCTCGGGCTTAACATTAACTCATTAAGATGAATCATATTGGATAGCTTTCTACCACCACACAGTTCCATCACCATATGTATTGATTCTCTATCCTATTGAAGTTTTATGGGAACTTGGACAGAATTAACGAGACAAGAGAATCCAGATCGTCAAAATGTAAGATATAGGAGTTGGGATTTGAAATTTGATGACTATCTCTGTGGCTATATAGTAGTAACTTGGTCTTCTTCTTTCTTTGTTTGCCAAAAGTGGGTCTTTAGATATTCAAAGTAATATTGGTCTTTTAATTTATTATACTTTTTCCCACCATTAATCATATATAGTTGGACTTTAGTCTTCGAAGACTATGATAGACTTTGGTATAGTGATTAAGTTTTAGGAGATGACTGGTGATAAACGTGTGTGAAAAAGTTTTTTTTTTTTCAAGTTCAATGCCTACCTATACAAAGGATTAACATAATGGTTATAGACACAGACACAATCTCTGAATTAATTGTCGTAATGAAGAGTGCAACTTTACTTTTTGCCCAAGTTTATATTCATGTAGTGAGTAATTACACAAACAAAACTTTGAGACAAAGTGTTAGGTTACTGGACCGAAGACCCATCTTGCCAAACTCAAACGTTCATGGTAAGCCAATCTCTCCACTTCTCCACTTTTTTATATTCAAAATATTTCACCTTAAATTTTCCAACGTGGGACTTTAGCAAATTTTGACATTTAGTCATATTTTTAAGCTTTTTAAATTACTCACTTTGGACCTCTGTTCCCCATTAAAACCAACTCCAATTTTGACAAGTGAATAGATCATCTTATAATGCTCATGCTGACGATTAAAGACGAACGTAACATTAAAGTGTTGTACTTTCAGACAAATAACAAAAAGATATTAACTCATGTTAAATTGTATATTTCGAAGTATCAAAACAACATGAGAAAATAAAACACCTAAAAGCAAATAGAAAATCTATCAAAGATATCCACCTATAGATTATGATCAATATTCACGCTAGTAAAATAATAATAATAATAATAAATAATTACAATTATTGCTAAAATTACAGTAAAAACTCTATAAATTAATAATGTTGGGATTTTCAAATTTTATTAATTTAGCGAATTATTAATTTATAAAAGATTAATTTGACCAAAATTTAAATTTGGGATCAAAGAAATTTATTAATTAATGGAGTTTATTAATTTATCGAATATTAATTTATAGAGTTTTATAGATTATGATTAGGATCTTCTCTTAATGCAGATTTTCTTTATTCATTATTTTTATTAAGTATATAACATTATTTTTATTAAGTATATAACAGATGTTTTAGCAAAACAAAAGTAGGGTTAGACGACAAGATGACCTCCATGGAGGCTGAGATTAAGCCAAGAAGAAGTTTGTATCCTCATCAAGCCAAGGAAGCTAAGAAAGAGACTTGTGTTATATGTTTTGACGACATTGATTCTGATGTCATGTTTTCTGTTGACAAATGCAGTCATCGATTTTGCTTTGAATGTATGAAACATCATATAGAGGTGAAGCTGCTTGAGGGAACGATACCGAATTGTCCTCAGCATCGCTGCAAGTCTCAGCTATCTATTGATAGTTGTAGCAAGCTTTTGACTCTAAAGCAGAGTCTTGCGTGGAAACAGAGGATTAAAGAGGACTCAACTCCTTTTACAGAAAAGGTTTACTGTCCATACCCAAGATGCTCGTATCTAATGTCCAAAACCGAGCTATCTACATGTTCTGACGCTGGACTTAGGACATGCTTTAAATGCAGTGGCTCCTTCTGTGTCCACTGCAAAGTTCCATGGCATAGTAAGCTATCGTGCACCGCGTTCAAGAAATGGCATCGTCCTCGCAATGATGATGCAGAGTTTATAAAGTCTCTGGCAAAGTTTAATGGGTGGCGTCAATGTGCCAAGTGCCAACATATGATTGAACATTCAAGCGGATGTGCCCGCGTAAAATGCAGGTATGCATGTAATCTCTCTTCTTTGAAGCAAACAATCCATTCATTTGATTATGTTTCTGCATGTTTTCATATTTCTTCTTCTTATGTAACCTTTTTAGGTGTGGATATGTTTTTTGTTACAACTGTGGAGTCGAATGGTACAGCTCAATTCATAAAGATTGCATACATTTTAGGGAGCATAATCTTGCTATGAGTTCTGTTGTCATCATGTGTGGTGTTCTTCTTTTGATTTTCTTTATTGCGTCTATAAGCTCACCAAAAAAAATGAAGTATTTTTCCTTTTTATCAAATGTTTGAAACTATTTAAAGTCTTCACAAGGGTTAAGGAGTTTTTCAAGAAAAATTACAAATAAATGGGTTTGGTTACAAGAAGAAGTTTTTCAATATCAACAACTCTCACCTCGGTTTACACGGTTTAGCTATTTTTCCCCGGGTTTAACAAAACCACTTTCAACCGAAACAAAAACAAGAGCTTATATAATCAAAGTATAAGTTTTTTCCCTTGTGGCTGCAAGTTGCCATTTCTCATCATCGAACAAAATTCCGCGTAGTCTATTCTTCCATCCTGCGCAGAATTCATTACAAGATTCAGAACCGGTTAAATAATTAAACCGGGGAAGAAATAAAGGAACCGGGAAATTAGAGAGGTCGATTTACATTATCTTTATCGACTTCTGATATAATTTCTTTGGCACAAGCTTCATCTCCCATACCATGCTCCTTCATGGCTATCTCCAATTCCTCCTTCGTTATGTGCCTATCATATAAACAAGACATTCACATTGATGTTTTTACTACATTCTATTTCACAATTCCTCCTTTGACACAAGAAATGATGTTTGATAGAGATTTGCTTCATTAACTTACCCACTTCCATCTTTATCAAAGTAAAGGAATGCTTTGTGCAAATGTTCATCTCGCTCCAATCTGTGTCTATGCATCGTCGCTGAGATAAACTCGATGTAGTCTATTGTTCCATTACGATCCACATCAGCCTGAAAAAAATTGTATCATTACGTGTTTCAGATTCTCTCTTTTTTGAGATCATCACATAAAAGAGATGGTTTATGATATAACTCACGGCTTCCATGAGTTCCTTCACTTCAGCTTCAGAGAGTTTCGAACCAAGTCTGTGCAGACCAGTTTTGAGTTCTTCATAAGTGATTGACCCGTTTTTGTCGGTATCCATCTTCTCAAACGTCGTTTTAAGATCTTTGATTTCCTCTTCCGATAGACCCTCTGCGATAACCTGCAAACCAAACACAGAGATCACAATCTGAATTTCAGGCAATATGAGATGTATGTTTCCGTTGATTAAAGAACACAAACACATGGCAAGAGAAAACAAGGAAGATGCACAATTGGTAATAAAGAAAGATAGACTTCTTATTTATTTTTTAGGTACTTCTTTTATTGTTAAGAGATCGGCATAACATTTACCTTAAGAGCTAGCTTCTTAAGCTTGTTCATAGCTCGGAATTGCTTCAAACGGGTTAAAACAACACCATCAATAGGCTTATCGGAAGCTTCGGTCTTGATCCAAGGATGTTCTGTAGACCACAACGATTGCAAGTTAGAGACAACCATAAACTCACACTAGCATTTCAGACAACAAGATAAAGACTTCATGATTCACACAGTGTCATTCTAAGGCCTAAGCAGCGGACTATAAGCTCATCTGGATTCTTGTAAGAAGTTCACACCACCATCCAACCACTACCTATCATGCCTTCTAATAAAAAACTTCAATTTGATTTCTTTAGCATCACAAACAAAAAGGCTTACCAAGAACCTCTCCAGCAGAGATTCGTTTCTTTTGGTTTTTGTTGAGCATCTTCTTGATAAGGTCTTTTGCACTCAAAGATATAGAAGGCCATGGTTGGCTCTCAAAATCAAGCTTGCCTTCCCTAATCTCATCTTCTACAATATCAGAAAACACACACATTACAGACAAAACTTAAACCCCACCCAAGAAGAAGAAAAAACTCTACCACTTTAGTTAGCTTAAGCTATTACCAGTTTCAAATGGTGGGTTCCCACTGAGTAGGATGTACAATATAACACCTGCACTCCAAATATCGATTTCTTTCCCGTAGCTTTCCCCTCGTAATACCTCAGGAGCAATGTAGTAAATACTGCCGACTCTATCCCTCAATTCTGTTCCTGTATTTGTTGAAAACACCAATCCAAGAATCAAACTAACTAAAGACGTCATACTTCACAATGTGATCAAAATGAGAAATTTAAAGCATTCTTGAAACATTCAAAGGCTTTATGATGATGGGTTCATTCAAAGGATCAATCTTTGGCTCTCTCTTACCTTCTTTGATGTAAACAGAACAGCCAAAATCGATTGCTTTGAGCTTATTAGCATTCTCATCATCCTCACTCGAGAACAAGAAGTTCTCTGGCTTGAGATCCCGATGAACCACATTCACCGAATGGCAAATCTGCACAGCACTCGCAATCGACGTGAAGATCCCAGCAGCATCTTTCTCCGAGTAGCAGCTATGGGACTTGACCAGAGCATCGATCCTGTCGAACAGCTCACCACCACCACACAGTTCCATTACGATGTGTACGAAGTCTCGATCCTCGTAAGAATCCTTGATCTGTACGATGTTTGAAACTCCTGAGAGGTCTTTCATTATCTCGATCTCTCTCTTCACAGCCTCTCTCTGTTCCTCGCTGCTTAGTGTCCTCTTTGGTATTGATTTGCAGGCGAAGCATTTTCCGGTGGAGATCTCCTCGCACACGTAGGTTACACCAAAACCTCCTTTGCCCAGTTCCTTCCCGAGGCTGTAATGCTTTTCAATGTCTTCCAATGGCTTCCCCAGAACGGTCACTGGCTCTCGATTAGTGACGAGATCCGATTGTGGTAGGTTTTTACTGCCGCAACAACCCATTAATCTGAGTTGGGTTTCTCAGAGATTTTGATGGTTTTTAAGGAGGAAGATGATCTTCGAGGATCATCAAAATGTAAGTTTTAGGAGCTGGGTTTTGACTTTTGATGGCCATCTCTTTGGTCGTCTTATTCTTTTGCCGGAAAAAATAAAACTGGGTCTTTGTTTATTATAAGTGGACTTTTAAGACTTTTAAGACGGTTGTTTATTATGTCTATCGAGTATTGATTATATTTTAAATATTCTTTAAAATTTGTATTTAACTTTATGTTTATATTTAGTCCGTGACTTGCGCGGACCGAAAAGTTTCATTAAAAATTAAAATAAAAATTTATGTCATAAATCAAAAATAATTAGATCAAGAATTTGATACATACAAAATTAAAAGAAAGCTGACCTATGAAAGTAATCATTATCTAACATTAAAAACTTTAAAATCAATATTAATAAGTATATAAAATCAATAAACACAAATTAAAATAAGATTAATATAAATTATTCATCTTTTTCTATTTTTATCTCTTAATTTTTTTTTTCTCTATCATTTTCTTCTTTATTTCTTTTTTGGTTTTTTTGTTTTTTTTCTTCTTTATCTTGTAGGTCTTTTTTTTTTTACTTTTATTGTGCTGGTTTTTCTTTTTCACGTCTTCTTGTTCTTCTCTACATCTTTTCTTTTTTCCTCTTATACATCTTTTGATTTTCTTCTCTTCCAGGTTTTATTCCCTTTCTTCTTCTTCTTCAATGTTTTAATATTTTATTTCTTCTTCTTTTTTTCTTTTCCTTTTTCATGGTCATCGTCTTCTTCGTTATCACTGACTTCCTATTCTTCTGGTATTTTTCGGCGCTTATCTCATCTTCATATA